TGTAATTTTACACATCTTAACCATGTCCTGTCCTATAATATCATGGTCATCATTAGTCTAAGGATGATCATGAAATCATTCCTGATTGTCAGAAAAACCATCTGGTTCACAAATGTTCTTTAGGGAAGTAAACTGCCATCCTTACCTGGTCTGGCGCCCATGTGACTCGAAACCCACAGAGATGTGCTTGACTTTTAACTGCCCTCAGGGCAATTAGTGATGGGCAATAAATGCTGGCCTAGCCAGAGAAGCCCTCGTGCTACAAATAATAAAAGAAATTATGTTTCATGTGAACATGAAAGGAAGACTTGAATTTATATAGCGCTTGTCAAAGTCACAGAATGTCCCAAAGCATGTTACATCCAATGAAAGACTTTTGAATCATAAAATCCCTGCAGCATGGAAGCAGGCCATTCAGCCCACACTGCCCCTCTGAAGAGCATCCCACCCACACCCCTACCCAAAAACCCTGCATTTTTCCTATGGCTAATCCACCTAGCCTACACATTACTGGACACTGCGAGCAATTTACATAGCCAATCCACTTAACCTGTATACCTTTGGGCTGTGAAAAGAAACCAGAGCGCCTGGAAGGAACCCACGCAAGACACAGGGAGAACATGCAAACTCCACACAGCCAGTTTCCCAAGGCTGGGATCAAACCCAGGTCCCTGGCACTATGAGGCAGCAGTGCTAACCACTGAGCCACCACACCATCTCGTGGCGTAGTGACTGTGTAGTGTAGGAAATGTGGCAACCAACTTGCACATGCAAGCTCCTACAATGTGGTGATTGACCAGATAATCTGTTTTTATCATGTTGATTGAAGGTTAGATGTTTGCTCAGAATGCAGGGGATAATGCAGTTCTGTAAGATAATGTCATGCAATCTTTTGTGCCCACCTAGGAAGTAGGACCTCGGTTGAATATCTCATCCAAAATACGGCACCTGTGAGGATGGCACATTCTGTTGGTCCTGCACTGAGAGGCAGACTTAGTTTTTGTCCTCCCGTCTCTGGAGTGGGACTTGATCCTGCAATATTCCAACACACAGGATAAAATGCTACCAGTTGAACCGCAGAGAAAGCAGAGAATATGTGACTGAATTATTCCTACAGACCCTGGTCCAAGTATTTCTGTTTAACAGATCAATATTTATTCATTGAATTAGATAGCAAAAGATGTAGAGATTTACAAAGAGTTTCATTGTAAATTTATAATTCAGCTCAAATACCACATTACTCCTTTTCCTACAGGACCTTTTCCCCTCTGACTCAAGGAGATCCCAGCTCCTTTTTCCCCTTATTTAACCTACATTTCTAATCAACCTGTTCAGAGATGTTATTACACACTTCTGGAGCAGGTGGGAGTTGAACCTGAGTCTTTTAATTTGGGGATAGGGACACTCCCCTGCAACACAGAGGGCCCTCATAGCTCTTTTCTTTCAAAATAAATCACCTCCAAATCACTTGTGTCATGAATTAAACCTTTAATAAATTAAGTGCAATGACCACTAGGGGCAATGCGACAATACTAAAATGGAAGGGTAGGGTAAGAAGGAGGAGGTTACATTAAAGTGCAGGTGGAGGGGGATGTTATGCACTCCAACCCCCATAGTGCCCACCTCCCTGAGAACCCAGCTCTCAGACCAAAGTCCAGTTAGCATCACCTCGTCTTAACCAACTCTGGAGCTGTTCTGTTTGACCCTTAAGTGGACCTGCATTTCTATCAGTGGCAATCTCTAACACCACTTCATCTCAAGATCATATTTGGGGCTGGGTTTTCATCAAGGATATGGATCTCGGAATTTGGGAATTTTTCCCATCTCTGCCTTGGAGGACCCTCCCTGCCCCGTTGCATGTTGTAGATGCAACTGTGACCAGGAGATGGGTCCACTGTGTCTGGAAGTAGGTGTCAGGCAAAAACAGAGGGAGGCAGAGAATGAGACTGGCAGATTAGAATGCCTGGATCCTTATCAGCCTGATTGTATCCACAGTCATTATACCCTTGTTCTCACCCCTGCCCTGCTCCATGCCCTTTCTTATCATCCATGCCTACTCAACCAGTATGCACTCGGTATACAACCAATGATCCATATCATGACATTGTTCAATCTACTCATGAAGGTAAAAAGAACATTCACCATGCCTTTTGAAGAATATTGCTCATTTTATTTCCTCATAACGCTGTCAATCACTTGCAAGCAGTAAATGTCTCAGAGTTAAATCTTCCACTTCACACCTCTAAATCTTGACCAAGTAAACAACGAGCATTTGTAGAAACTCTTCAAAGACATATTAGTTTATACAATGTAATGAGATAGCAGTGATACAAAAAAAAACAATTACCTTTAAGCTATGTTAATAGACCTCTGCTGAGCTGAATTCATGACCGTGCTTGGAGCTCAGCCAAGCATTAATAATGAGGGCAGTGGAAAAAGCAATGCCTGACAACCTGCTATAACTGCTTCTATGAATGCAGTTGTCAGTATTGTGGGGTTAAAGTGCATGGCATCCAATTTCTTTGATTGTCTTGTTTATTCTCAGTTGCAACAGATTGAAAACAAGTTGCATTTTCAAGAGGCGGACCCGCTTCTAGAGTCAAGCATCCAAAAACGATCACAGTCCAAGGCATTTGGTGAGCCACAGCTGGCATACTGACATAGGAATTTCTAAGTGAAGGAGTTTTGTAGAATGATTCAGCGCAAAATAGACTATTTGGCCCACTGTACTTGTGCTAGACCTTTGGTGGAAGTATGCAATTAATTCCCTGCTGAATATTACCATTGAATCTGCTCCCACCACCCAAGTTAGCTTGCGCATTTCAGATGGCAACAACTTGCTGTGTAATTTTAAAAAAAGGTTTCCAAGGGCCTGAACACTGACTTCGCCAGCTTTGAAATCCCTCCAACCCCAGCCTTATCCCATATCCCGCCTCTCTGACCTGACCTAACCTGTCCGTCTTCCTGCTCACCTATCTGTTTATCCCTCCCACTGACCAGTCACTATAACCCCTTACTAGCATCCACCTATCACCATCCCACCTACCTTTCCCCAGCCCTACCCCACTTCCTCTATTTATTTCTGGGCTCCCCTCCCCATCCCCAGTGCTGACAAAGGGTTTGACTTTCCTGCGCCTCCGATGCTGTCTGACCTGCTGTGTTTGTCCAGGTCCACGTTTATTGACTCTGGTTTCCATCATCTGCAGTCCTTACTGTCTCCTTTCCTCAACTTGCCTTGGATTCTTTTGCCGGTCATCTGGAATCTGTTTACCAATCCTTTGTGTTACGATCCATTAGGGCCTGGGAGGGATGCCTGAGACCAAATTGAACCAGAACAAGTGATTAATAAGTGTTAATTATAGTTCACTTTACTGTCACTGTGCATCTGTGGTGTGGCGAGTGAGTATTAACTTTGGAGAATGGGGTTGTTGATTGTGTGAACTTTGTTCTGAACGGTATCAAGCTTCTTGAGTGTTGTTGGAATTGCAATTCTCCAGCCAAATGGAAAATCTTTCTTCGCATTCCTGACTTATGGAAGCCCCTCTGCTCCTATGATGCTGCTTGGCCTGCTGTGTTCATCCAGCCCTGTACCTTGTTGTCTCGGATTCTCTAGCATCTGCAGTTCCTACTATCTCTTATGCCTTGTAGATATTGGACAGGCTGTTGGGGGGAGTTACTTGCTATGAATTCCTAGCCCCTGAACTTCTCCAGAATTCACAGTATTTGTATGGCTGACCCAGTTCAGCTTGTGGTCAGTGATAGCCCCCAGGATGCTTATAGTGAGGGATTCGGTGATGGCTAATGCCATTGAATGTTGTGATGATTGGGTTCGTTCTTAGAGGTCATGTGACGCGAATGTCTCTTGCTGCTTATCAAAACAAGCCTGAATGCTGTCCAGGTCTTGCTGCATTTGGACATGGACTGCTTCAGTATCTGAGGAATCGTGAATGGTGCTCAACACTGTGTAATCATCAGTGAACATTCCATGTGACCTCCAGTCCCATCGTCTAAATGTAAAGCTACCATTGTCTTAGCAGACTGTAGAACTGCTCTTTTATTAGGGAAAGACGACTGGTGGTAGTTTAACCTGAGGGTCACCATGTATGGGGTGGGGGAAGAGATTGAGAAGGAGAGTCCTTCATGGTAATCTCAGCCAGTGCGGGAATCGGCGCTACTAACTGACTCCCTCTCATCATATAAAATGGTGCATGAGGCCTACATGCCCTCTAATATTTCCGAGGTCTGTGGGTGGCAGTGCCTTCGGGAATCAGAAGCCACTGTGGCTGCACACCATGCATAGACCCTTCAAGCATCTGCACATCTTTGAGAGAACGCTACTTGAAGCTCCAGATCAGCTTCTTGTGCGGCCTTGCCAGTCACAATCCAGCCAGTTAGAGTGCTTGCCTACAGTTAATGATTTTAACAGTGTCGCTAGTATCAGCTCATTGAAACTTCAAAACTCGCAGGGTCCGTGTTACTCATGAGACTGGAAACTGAGTTGTAAACTGGCCGTGTTGCTAGCAGTACATAGATATGTTAATTCAGAAAGTGGATATTGGACATTGTGAAGCATAGTGTGATTTTTTAAAATTGAAAATTGAGGTGGAACTAGGTGACTTCTTCATGGCTGATGGGTCAAAGTTGGTGAGTGTACGATGTTCATTGGACAATGAAGGATTGTTGCTGGCACTAACAGAGTGGGATGGGCTTTAAATGATCAGCAGGTCCAGAATTATAATAGATGAGGGCATGTTGGGGCTTGTTCTGCTCTGCAAAACAACTGACCTACAGAGAAAGAGAAAACATTTCGAAGCATTTTCTTTCAATCGCTCAAGGTTTAAGGTGAAAGTCTGAGAGGTTTTTTTAAAAAAACAGTCAGCGACTAATTTATGTAGATTGCAGTTAAAGTCCTGCCCTTGTTGAATTGTAACAGAAAAGCTTTTGAGATGGTTACTATGCCAATGTACTATGCTGTCGGTGCGTTGTTGTTGTTGTTGTAGGATGTGGTGTGAATTGCACTGGCGACACTACAAAGCAGGGTGCTTCTCCCCAACAACCAAGTTCCCGAAGACCTTGTGGACCAGATAAGCACAAAGTCCTGAGTTTTGAGTGGTCTTCTTCCTCAAGCAGGTAAATGTATTTTATTTTGAGTCTCCTTGTTACAAAATAAAGGGAGTGCAGGCTTACAATCCAAGATTTTGCAAGTTTGGTAATGAATCATCAATCCATACATTTGCAGAAAGAGTCCATGCAGCCCATTGAGCCGGTCCCTTGGAAGAACTTTGATCTCCTTTGCCCCGTTCTGACCTTTCCTGTCATCCTTTAGTTTGACCCCTGTAGCTGTTGGGCCGAAATGTGTGGTCGCAGCCAATTTGCGGTCAGGTTCAAATCACACTGACTACTGTAGCCCATGGCTTTATCCCTATTCTTTGCTAAGTTCATAGACGTCAAATGGGACAAAACCAGGGGGTTGAAACTGGCCTTTCTCCTGGAATAGGAAAGGGAACAACAAATTAAGGAAAGAAATTGACAATTCCAGCTCCTTGACCTCTACCAAATGGGGAATAAAACCATAAGCCCAAAACAAAATCACACTGAAGAAGTAAGTGGTCAGTGGATAGCAACAGTATCACAACAGTCAAGACTCGGGCTGGATTTTATAACCTTCCCCACCCCTGATATGTGTAAAATGTGTTGGCAATCTGATGTTATTGTGCCAATCTCCAATTATTTGCATTTTAATTTGTTCATGGGAAGTGGGTGTCACTGTCTGAGTCTATACTTATTGCCCATCCCTAATTGCCCTCGAGGCTAGTGGTGAGCTGCCTTCCTCAACAGCTTGGTGTCTCTAGATGTGAATAACGCAGCAGAGCTTGAGGTGCGGAAATTTGGATCACAGCCATCACTTTTAGACAACCAATGAATAAATCATTGTTGACGCCCCAGTGTGGGCAGTTTTCCCCTGCCCAGTCTGTTCTTGGGGTTGGATGGAAAAGGTTTGTTCGTGATTTATGCCAGGTATGAGGAGCTGGCACAAGGGCAGAAGTAAAAGCTTGCCAGTGGGACCAAGGATGCAGAGAGCAGTCGAGTCAATGGCTCAAAGAGGCAGCACTTGTATATTATTTTGACTTTGTGTATTAATTGTTTCAGAATCACAGAATCCCTTCAGAGTGGAAGCAGGCTATTCGACCCATCAAGCCCATACCTAGCCTCTGAAGAGCATCCCGTTGCAGACCTACCCTATCCTTGTATTTCCCATGGCTAATCTACCTAGCCTACATATGTCTGGACACTACGGGGCAATTTAGCATGGCCAATCCACCTAGCCTGCAAATCTTTGGACTGTGGGAGGAAACTGGATAACCTGGAGGAAACCCACACAGACACGAACAGTGTGCAAACTCCACACAGACAGCTGCCTGAGGGTGGAATCGAACCCGGGGTTTCTGATTCTGTGAGGCAGCAGTGCTAGCCATTGAGACATCGTGCCACCCAATTTGAAGCCTGTCAAAAGGAATGAAGAGCAATTGAGAGGATACTGGGCCTTTAAATTGATAGCTGTGCTGATTTCCAGTTCACAGCAATGTCCCTCCCACCCATGTAACATCCCAGACTAGGCACCTCGTTGGGTATGGAGATACCCCTTTGCATCCCTAATTTGCTGTCTTCTTTGGTATGGCCATTCAATGTTTGATTGAAAAGCTGAAAAGTATGGCAGGAGGAGGTGGACCCTGCAGTTTCCATTTTACCTCCCTCATCTCACTGAGAAAGGAATGCATCTGCATTCTGGGATTTGGACCCTGACTAAGAGGTTGCTATTAAACTATCCTAAGTAGAGGAGGCGCTGGCCTACTGGCAATATTGCTGGATTTATTAATCTAGAGACCCAGGTAATGTTCCAGGGACCTGGGTTCAAATCTTGCCATGGCAGATGGTGGAATTGGAGTTCAACAGAAATTGGGAATTAAGAGCCTAATGATGACCATGTTGATTATTGGTGAAAACCCATCTAGCTCTCTAATACAGTTTATGGAAGGAAATCTGTCGTTCTTACCTGATTCCAAACCCACGGCAATATTGTTGACTGTTAAATGCCCTCTGGGCAACAAATGCCTAGTCAGTGATACCTGCATCTGGTGAATTAATTTAAGAGAAAGTGCCCTCATGGCAGAATGTCTTGAATGGGACCTCATGTCCTGGTGGATTTTGCACTTGTTTTAAGTATTGGGTGGGATTTACTGATTTACTTTTCATTCAAGATCCATTTGAAGTCTATTTATTCTAAGAGGTTAACTTTTGAAATGTTCTTAATATTGGACAGGACAAATGACACCAGAAATTTCAATTCCTTGGTGAAGAATTGTCATTCTTCAAGAAGAATGTTCTGGGATGAGAGATCGAGCCCCTTATACGATGACATTATTGACCAAGGCATTCCACTATCTGCACTTAACCAAACAACAGCAGTTAGCAACCAAGATAAAAATGATAACCTGTCAATAGGAGTTACTCCAACAAGATCGCATACATTGGGTGATATGGACACAATGGAAAATTATTGGTTCCTGGCTTGTAATCAAGAGACTTGCGGTGGCTTCAAACCATCCATCCAACATGTGCTTGGAGAAAGAGCTCCAGTTGGGAATGACAGCAAATTGGCCCTTGATCGTTCGATCAAAAGACGGATCTTGCAAGAGAAGGAAAGATCTCCCGTGGCATCAATCAGCGCTTTCCCCCCTACTCCACCTGGAAGTCCAGTAGCCCAACGGCTGGAGCGGAGTCATTCTCCTGTGAACAAATTGGAGAGGCTTAAAGAGCGGATCAGGAGACAGAGGAATTTGGAAAAAGTGGAGGGGACTCTCTCAAACAGACCACATGCAGAGCAACCTATCCCAGCTCTCCAAACGAAGTTTGGAGACCCTTTCAGTAATGGGTCAATGAAGCGTTGGGTCAGGAAGGTGACCTTTGCCCCCCCTGCACCAGCCTATAAAGGCAAGTATACATCTCATTGCTTATTTCATGTGAGTCTTCAGTTTGAGTGAAGTCATTGAACTGGCTGAGAAATGATCATTGTGATCAGCATTTGACTGCTGCTTGCCTCCTTCACTTTTCCTTTCTCCTGTCTCATTCCAGCAACTCATGCAGCTCCCATCTGGACCCCTGTGCATTTGCTTGTTTCAATCTCCTTATTTGGTCAGTTCACTGGTCTTTTCTTCCAGCCTCTTTCACATCCCTGATTTTTAAACACTCCAACATTGGCAGGCACACCTTCAGTTTCCAAAGCCGGAATTGCTGCCTTAGACCACTCTGCCACTCTCTCCTTTTAAGACGCTAGCTGATAAATTATGTCTTTGACCAAACGCCTGTCCAAATATTCCTAATGGGACTCAATGTTAAATTTTGTTTGGCTTCCTTGAAGGGCTATGGGATGTTTACAGCATGAAATGTGCTAGATAAGTTTATTGTCCTTATCGTTCTGACACTGTACCATTTCCCTGTTCTTAAATTTCCAGTTGCTTTGTTCCTCACTACTGTGTGCACACCTCCTCAAGTTTAACCATGTCAGTTCCAGGAAATCTAACAAAAAGTTTGACTTTGCTTCTTTTTCCACGGATTCATCCAGAGCTGCTGAGTCTTTCCAACATTTTGCGTCTTTTATTTCTGATTTCCAGCATCCACAGTGTTGGGTTTGTATCAATTGCCTTCTCCCTCACTCTATCAATGAAAAGACCACTCTGAATGTACCATCCACTAGCACCGCTAACCATCCCCACCTTGAGGGCAGTTAAGGACGAGCAATAAATGCTGGCCTAGCCAGCAACACCCACATCTTGTGAACAAATAAATAAAAAATACCCAAGCCAGTTACAGAAGGTAAGGAAGAAAATGGGATCAGGGAATCAGCCATGATCATATTGAATGGTGGAGCAGACTCACAGGGCCGAATGGCCTACTCCTGCTCCTATTTCCTATGTTTCTATGTCAAGACTTACCTTTTTAAAATGCATTTGTTTGGATGCTATGTGCCTCAGCATACTAATGGTTCAAGCTGCTGTTAATTGTTCATGGATTGTGAAGTAACTTTGTCCAAAAACATAACTGAACTGCAGATCAACATGGCAAGGACTTGTCACGAGCCTCATTAGTCATGGGACTGAGATTGTGACCAGAATTTCTTCTGTGAAGACCATTCTGTAATTGTCTGATGACTCAATTGGGAAGGGTGTACTGATTATCGAGTCCCACTGTTCCACAAGCCATCACAAATGTGTAATTCCCAAATTAAACCAACGTGATGAGCAATTTGCCTGACTGCTATTCAGGGCAAAAGTAATTTGCACCAGACTTCATCGTCGAGAGGAAACTAATATCGTAAACAAGCTTGCTCCCTAACAAATGGGAAACAGAAGTGGATTGCTCATTACTATGATGTAACTTAAGTTATACTCCTTTAAAACCCCAAGCATGCACACATTAATTCATGAATAAGACAGCCATAAACAGACAATTTGACACAAATATTTTGGTGAAAAACTCAATTCTGTTGTTCAAGAGTCCAGATCCCAAGGGTAGGATGAGGTTATTTTCTGTTTTTTTGAGGTTTTTGACTGATGGTATTACCGACAGAGCAATGGTTGATCTTCAATTTAGTAGGTGTTTAGGTGGACCTAGGTCTTTTCTTTGTCTTAGAACATTATTTTCAGAGTCTCCAAATTTTGTATTTTTCATTCTGACAGATGTTGAGAGAAGCTTCTGAATATCTCTGTGTCCACGGCACTTATGGATCTGCAACAAACTGTAGATGCACCAATTCAAAGGCTATTATTTGGCCATTTTTCCTTATTCAAAGATTTCTAGTATCACTTTGTCTCAAAGTATCCATTATTGCACTGCCCTGAGAAGAAACATAATCTTGTGTTGGTAAACTGTACAATATAACTTGATTTTCAAGTTGCAAAAACTCTCCTGGCATTTCTATATGTATAACAGCTTCCAACTTCCAGTTTATAACCCGAACAGAAAATAAAAATGTTGTCCCTTATAATTGGCAACCAATCTTAGCCATTAACTGTGTTCAAAGACACGATCTTATTTCCTTCTTGTAAGTGTGCTCGGAGATATTTGTCTCAAAGCCAGAGCATCTGTGAAATGAATCAAGCTCCATTTGGAAAACAGGAGGTTAGAAAGTTTTGTCAACACTGGTAGATGTCTCTTGAAACTACTTGCAGGTTTTATTCCAAGTGACTATATAAATGGATAAAGTGCCACTGATAACAGAAAAATGGAAAAACAGATTGACTTACGTGAAATTAATTCAACGAATCTGTCAGTTTAATGGGTATGGTTGTATAAACATTACTTTTTGTTGTTTGTCATTCCAACTCTTAGGTCTCCCTTCTCACCCCAGTGCTTCATGTTTCTAAATGTCAAGATGCAGAGTCTCTGCCAGACTTCACCATTTATTGGTCAGTGCATTGAGTATAGAAGTTGGGAGGTCATGTTGCGGCTGTACAAGACATTGGTTCGGCCACTTTTGGAATACTGCGTGCAATTCTCCCTCCTATTGGAAGGATGTTGTGAAACTAGAGAGGGTTCAGAAAAGATTTATGAGGATGTTGCCAGGGTTGGAGGGTTTGAGCTTTTGGGAGAGGATGAATAGGCTGGGGCTATTTTCCCTGGAGCGTCGGAGGCTAAGGGGTGACCTTATAGAGGTTTATAAAATCATGAGGGACATGGAGAGGGTAAATAGGCAAGATCTTTTCCCCAGGGTAGGGGAGTCCAAAGCTGGAGGGCATAGGTTTAAGGTGAGAGCAGAAAGATTTAAAAGGGACCTAAGGGGCAACATTTTCATGTAGAGGATGGTGCGTGTATGGAATGAGCTGCCAGGTGAAGTGGTGGAGGCTGGTATAATTACAACATTTCAAAGGTATCTGGATGGGTATATGAACAGGAAGGGTTTAGAGGGATATGGGCCAAATGCTGGCAAATGGGACTAGATTTATATAGGATATCTGCTTGGCATGGACAAATTGGACTGAAAGGTCTATTTCCATGCTGTATATCTCTATGACTCTATGATGGGTTCATCATAAAGTAACAAACCATGGTTTAGCAGGTGATACAAGCACCATAGTAATAATCTTACCAGACCATAGGGCTGCTCTTTTATTAGATAGAAGTAACTAGTGGTTGTTTAACCTAAGAGTCACCTTGCCTCTGGTAAGGCGAGAGGTTGAGAAGAAGAATCCTTCATGCTAACATCAGCTGGTGCAAAAAATGAACCCATGCTGCTGGAGTCAGGCCATATCCGAAACTCGCCAACCATCCAACTGAGCTAAACCAGACCTCCATCTGAAACACACTCAAGGATGGTAAATAAGCACTACCAGGGCTGGGCAATAAATGCCATTCTTGCCCATGATGCCCGTTCTGAAGAATAATCTTTCAATATGTCTGGAAGCCGCAAGGAAGCCCCCATTGAGAAGTGGCAAACTTATATAAAAGCTAGATGACCAGGAAATAAATGGAAGAGAAATGAGAAGACCCAATGAAATTCCATTCCTTTCCAAATGCTTCTTTTTTTAAAATGATGCTTTTGGCAGCTATTTTCTTTTGTACATAGTCCGAGCCTTCATTACAAGGATTCTGAAATAATAGGTGAACATTCGGAGGAATGTCATGAACAGAAGGAGTACATTTAGCATGTCGCATCATTCATTTAGATTATGACTGATTTTTGCTAGGTCCGTATACAATCCAGTTGATAGAGAGTATCTCTAATATTGGCATAAGATGCCATAAAATTGCAAAAAAAGTGGACGTCTTTTCCCCGTCCCCTTCTTCAATGTAACACAATGAATATCAAAATAAAATCTCTTTTCCTTTCACATTGAGTCATTGAATGACATGGCATGGATGGAGGTCATTCAGCTCATCATGTCTTTCCCTGAACTTTGGTAGCGTAATCTAACGCATGCTGAACTGAACAGACTTTCACAGTAACTTGCTCAAAACAAACAGGCATCGGCATATTCTTTTTAACAAGGTTTTGACATGAAGTTGGAGCTGAGGAGCCTTTTTCTACCCCTGAAGAGAATCCACTTCCTTAGGAGACACTCCTGTCCATGCTGCCCAATTAAGACTTGTCGCGCACTTTTCCCTCGCCGCTCCGTCTGACCTGTGGCCTCTGGTGTGTGTTGTAAGAGATGTCTGAAGCCAGAACTTTGTTCTTCGCTTGTTGTTTACCTCAAAAATGTATAAAAATCTGGGGTGGAAACCAGCCTGTGATCCCTCTTATAGTACTAGACTAAGGCTCACAAAGATTTAATGGTGAAGGATGACAAAAGGGATGTCTCAGTCAAAGTGGCATGCCTTTGAGTAACAAGAAAGGTTTATTACATAGTAAGGTGTCAAGTTACAGTACAGTAAGATTGGATGATTACGTTAAAAACCAATACTGTATCGTCTACAAGATAGACCTCGTTCCGAGTTCCATGATTACAGACTACAAAACCCAACAGCAGACTGACTAGTGCCACCCGGAGGCAGTCATGTATATCCATTGAGAGGGCTCTTGTGCAGAGGTAGTGCTCCTACTTCTGAGCCAGGAGGTCCAGGTTGAAGTCTCACCTGCCCTGGATGTGTGTCACAACATGTCTGAACAGCTTGATGAAAAGTAACTGTACAGTTGTGAGCGGGACTACACCGAATGTTTAGTATTAACCCTTTCAGGCCAACGACCTTGTACAACAAGGTGAAATACATGTTTGTGTTGCTGCTGCCTCTCAGGTATGAATGTCAATCCTGAATAGTAGGGATGCCAAGTTTACTGTCATGATTTACAACCATTGATTGGAGGGTTTGATGGATAGCCAATCAAGGTTTGTTCTGCTTCTTGTGTGTGTTCTGAGACAAATGTACAGCCCCAAGATCAGGCTTTAGGTAATGCAGTGTTCAACACAAATGTGACATTCTTGTTGAAAATCCAAGGAGAAGCAAACTAGGGTTTTCGAGAATGTGTTAAACCCGCTCAGGCTCCCAGTTAGGAGATGTACTTGGAAGGATTGCAAATCAGGTAATAGCTCTGTCTCAGCCGAGCTCTCCCAAAAGCTGTGGGCTCCTGCTGGTAACAAGGGATCAGTGAGTTAGTCATTTGGTGCTGGAGAACAATTGTAATGCCCCACCCTTTCTCATGGCTTCATGGTAGAGTTCCCACCTTCGAGTCAGAAGCTGAAGTGTTGGAACTCCCTGCAATTGGAGACTGGAACACCAGCTCGGAATTCCAGGACCACGTTTATTATCTAGACATCTGTCTGAGGATGAAGTTAGCTACAGGGCAAACTCTCTTCTCTCCTCGTGTGTCCATGCACACGCTCATGAATGAATGTACACAGAGATGTATAATAATAACAGAGACATCCCTGACTGCAGGATGTGACTGCATTGAAGGTGTACCCCTGAGAACTGTTTAGTCAATAATTACTGCAGAGTGAGTTCCATTTCCCTGTTGCTTCTGGTTCCCATGTACTGGTATGTCTCCTGCACATCTATGGAGCTGGTATTGTATTTTGTGTACAGAAAGTATACATCATCAGTAGAAGACATTAGTTTTAAAAGATCTTGATTCATTTTATACTGCTGCTCCAGGCAACTAAGCTATTAGTTTAACTTAACCATGAATTTCAAAATGTACTTCATGGGTTGCAAAGTACTTGGGATATATTGCGTTTCTGAGAGATGCTAGAGAAATGCAAGTTCTTTTTAATCCAACATGTAGATCAACAGAACTGCCTATTAAGTACAGGAACATTGCCTTTTTCCACTTCATTGCTCTCTGTTTTCCCTTGTTCGCATCTTGCCTCCACCCCTAATGTTAGCTGAATGACTCCTGCAGAAAAATGGAAATGGTGACTTTCTGTGGGTGGGATGTAGTCCCAGACTCCAGTCTTCTAACATCAAAATGATTTCATAATACCAATTTCTTAAATGCTTTTGGAAGGGAAATCTAGCAGCACTTTCTTTTAAAGTGTTTCTCTCCAGAGATCTATTGCTGTGCCCTCTCTTTTCTGTGCTTAATCTTCACTGTCCATGTTTTTCAGTTTATATCCCTCATGGCATGAGAAATAAGAATCAACTACAACTGACATTCTAACCTGATAATTTTATTAATATTAAGACAAAGCCGTTTTCCAGTTCAAGATGACATACAGTCTTATTCTAAGGAATGTAACTTGGATTTTAGAATGATCAAATTTTTTGTTCTGGGATTACCTTGTTGGCTCTCTTTGCAAGGATCTGCTCATCTGCCCTATCTTTGGAAAGTTCATCCTTTCCTCAAAGTGTAGCCTATGAAAGCGCTAAACACAATGTCCCAGATTTTGCAATTGGAATGGCAGTAAAGCTGTCAATGTTTGATGTTATTAAGGATTAAATCAGGACCAACTTTCTGATAAATGTGGAAAATGAGGATTTTCTTACACTGCTCCTCCAGTTTTACTGCGCTGGTGTTTTGGCAAGACCCTTGAAATATACATGGAGCTGCTGTAATGAGCATTGGAAAAAATGAGTTTGTCCATTCAACAATAAATGAATTATTAATCAAATAGTCAATCTTGATGATTGCTAAGTACTTCCTCTAGCTCTGAAAATTAACTTTCAGAAATGTGGGATTTTAAATGTTTTTAAAGATTTTAATTAAGTAGTGAAATTACTTATTAACTTTTAGTATCATTTAACACTGTCTTAATCTCAACTGTTTCTGTTTTTTATCTGTCCCTTTTGTGGAATACATTTATAATATTATTGTCATTTTGGAATTTATATTTAATAGTAGATGTAAATGGGCTTTTGGTTTTAGTTCTGTGAAGTTGATTTCACTTTTTAAAGAGGTCAGAAGGTAATCTTTGAACAGTATGTTTAAGCATCATTTCCAAGAAAGCATGTGACTTAAGCTAAATGACTAGATAAATTGCCTGTGGGGTTAATTGATGAAATGTTTACAAAATCGAACTTTTATCACAAACAGACAGACCAGGATCGATGATTTTGTGTCAGTTGAGAAGAGCAGTTTCATATCAGCAGAGGGCAGTTTAAATTTTGGCAGTCCAGTCTTTTCAGACCTGGAAAGAAATCTTAAAATTATTTCAGTAGTTTAAGTAGAGAGAGCTTTTCATATAGTTCAGTTAGGAAAAAGTCAGTGAAGCAGTCAGTATCTGTGTATCTCTGGGAGAGACAGGAAGGAAGAGAATCATGTATGGTGAATGTATAGAAAGTTACCAAAAGTAAATGCTTGCAACCTCATCCATCAAGTAAGAAATTAATGAGTTGAGATGGGAGTTTATTATTCACTGGGATTGATAATATGTAAAGGATGGGTGGCTCAGGGACACAGTGGCTATCAATGCTGCTTCCTAGCCCCAGGAACCTGGGTTCGATTCTAGCCTGTAAGTTTGCATATTCTTCCTGTATCTGTGTGGATTTCTGCTGCGTGCTTTGATTTCTTTCAAGTAATTATTACAAGTCCACATTGTGAAGTTCGAAATTCTCCAAAACTCCACACCAGTAGACTGTCTGGTTTGCTGATGATCTTTGTCATATTATCTTACTGTGTTTTCCTTTGCCTGCCTGTTTGCCTGTTTATCTGTCACCAGACAGTAATAATCCCAATAAACATTCCCTGTGATGCCCCAGTCACATGGTTAGTGTATTTTTTGGTCTGTTTCATTGCTCCTCCTATTGTATTTACTTCCACCCTTTCTTTTCAATCAATACATTCCAGGTTGTAGCAACTCATCGATTTTACAAAAATAAAGTCTCCCCATCTCCCTTCCAGTTCCTTTGGCTTCTGGGTGCTGAGTCACCTGACAGTGTAAACAGGTTCTGTTCTATCAGATCTAACTGCTGAGCAATTCTGATTTCTTCCAGGTTTCAATGCCATTGAGTTGGCGTCTGACAAGAAATTCTCAAAACCCCAGGCGTTTGGAGAGGCTGTTTCAGTGAACTCTCAGTCCAGTCGGCGAGCAGTGATGCGAGGCAGAGATTGGGGACAACAACAAAATGCAGGTTTGAGACAAATCAGATTATTCCCATTGATCACAATTGTGCCATTGCCCGTTCCCTCAGGGGGGTTGTATTGTTAACATTAGACCATTAACCTGGAGACTAAGGTAATGTTTTGGGGACCCAAGTTCAAATCCTGTCATGGCAGATCGTGAAACTTGAATTCAAGAAAAAAAGTTTAGAATTAAGATTCTAACAACGTTGATTGCTGGGGGCAAAATCCCATCTGGGTCATTAATGTCCTTTAAAGAAGGAAATTAATGAACAGAAAATATGTTTTAGGGAGAAGTCTTCTAGTGCAGTGGTAGTGTCCCTACCTCTCAGTAAGGTAAGGCTTGGATTCAAATCCTGCCTGTTCCAGAGGTGTATTGTAACTTCTCAGAAATATCTGAATGTTTTAGGGAAGGAAACTGCGGGCCTGCATGTGACTCCAGACTCAATGTGGTTGACTCGGGTAGTTAGGGATGGGCAATAAATGCTGGCCTCGCCAGTGGTGCTCGCATTTTCATGAATGAATTATATTTAAAAATGGACAGAGATGGGGTGAGAAATTTGAGAGATTCTGTGCACAGTGTACAAACTAATGCTCGTGTATGCATAGAGTGCCAACATTATACATCATCAGATATACACAGAATGACAGGATTGATACAGCACCATGGAGACCACTTGGTTTATCATATCTGCACTGGCTATCAACAAGCAACTTATTATCACCATTGCCCAGCCTTCTCCCTGTGACCCTACACATTGTTCCTTTACAGATAACAGTCTAGTTCTGCTTTGAATGCCTAGTTGAACCTGCCTCCTCCAACTGTTTGGCAGTGCATTCCACACCCTAATCCCTCACTGTGGGAATTTTTTTTTCTCATATCACTGTTGATTTTTACTAATTACTTTAAATCCGTGGTTTCTTATACTCGATTTTTTTTTATGAGTGAGAGCTGCTTTTCCTGACCTACTCTGTCCAGAAGATGGAAAAGTATTGAAATAAAGGGTGCGGGCTGCACGGTGGCTCAGTGGTTAGCACTGCTGCCTCACAGCGTCTGGGACCCGGGTTTGATTCCACCCTCAGGTGACTGTCTGTGTGGAGTTTGCATGTTCTCCCCGTGTCTGTGTGGGTTTCCTCCAGGTACTCCCGTTTCCTCCCACCGTCCAAAGATGTGCAGGCTAGGTAAATTGGCCATGCTAGATTGCCCGTAGTGTAGATTGGGTGGGTTGTGGGGGTGTGTGTCTGGGTGGGATGCTCTGGGGGCCTGTGTGGACTTGTTGGGCCGAGGGGCCTGTTTCCACACTGCAGGGATTCTCTCTCTAAAAAATAATCTTTTCGCGTACTGAGGAGATGAATAACAGCATCATAACCTTTGTCCTGCTCATAGTTTTTATTACATTTCCCAGTGGATTTATACTGGATATGAGCTCAAGAACTGAAATGGGACTCAGTGAGTCACACCCAGCTTGGTTGCTATCCAGCTGGCTTGGGAGCAGATGTTGACCATTGAGCCCTTCGAACCTGCTCCACCATTCAATCAGAACATGGCGATCTGATTTCTCTACATTTCTGCCTACTCCTGACTAATCTTTCACCCACTTCCTTATCAAGAGTCTATCCCTCTCCGCCTTGAAAAATGTTGAAGACTCTACTTTCACCACCTTTCGAGAGAAAGAATTTCAAAGATTCTCATGCCTCCGTGATGAAGAAATTCCTTCTTGTCTTTGCCTTAGTGTCTTATTTTTAAACGGTGATCCGTGGTTTGAGAATCTCTCACAAAAAGAGCCCTCCTTTCCACAGGTACCTGGTCAAGACCCCTCACGATTTTGTACATTTCCATTAAACTGCCTCCTACTCTTCTAAAATTCAGGAGATACAAGCCCTAGCATTTCTGATCTTTGGTCATAAGGCAACTCACCCATTCCAGGTATTAGTCTGATAAACCTTCTCTGTACTATTTGCGATGTATTCACATACTTCTTAAATAAGGAAACCTGCATCGTACACAGTTCTCCAGATGTTTAGAATACTGTGTAAAATTCTGGTCGCCCTTCTATAGGAAAGATGTTGTTAAACTTGAGAGGGTGCAGAAAAGATTTCCAAGGACGTTACCAGGACAGAAGGGTTTGAGCGATAGGGAGACGTTAAACAGGCTGGGGCTTTTTCCCCTGGAGTGCTGGAGACTGAGGGGTGACCTTATAAGGGTTTATAAAACCATGAGGGGCATGGATAGAGTGAATAGCCAAAGTCTTTTTCTGAGAATGTATGAATCCAAAATTAGAGAACGTAGGTTTAAGCTGAGAGGGGAAAGATTTAAAAAGTACCTGAGGGGTAACTTTTTCATGCAGAGGGTGGTGCGTGTATGGAATGAGCTGCCAGAGGAAGTGGTGGAGGCTGGTACAATTATAACATTTAAAAAGCATCTGGATGGGTATATAAATTGGAAGGGTTTAGAGGGATGGGGTCAAAAGCTGGCAAACGGGATTAGGTCACATTGGGATGTCTAATTAGTGCGGATGAGTTGGACCAAAGGGTCTGTTTCTGTGCTTTATAACTCCGACTCTGTGTGGTCTCACCTGTAAATAAAGCATCTGTAAATAAATACCTCCCTATTATTGGATTCAATTTTCCTCGCAATTAACAATTCTTTTAGCTTTCCTAATGACTTGCTGCAGCTGAAAATCTAAACATTTGCAATTCATACACAAGAATATCCAGATATATTTGTGTCCTGGAGCTCTGCAATCTCTCACCATTTAGATAATATGCTTCCATTTTATTCTTCCTGCCAAAATGGACAATTTCACATTTCCTACATTATACTCCATTTGCCAGAACTTTGCCTACTCACTTAACCGGCCATATCTTTTGATAGCCTCTTTCACAACTTTCTTTCCTACCTACTTTTTGTCATCAGCTAATTTAGCAACCGTACTATCCATCCCTTTGTCCAAGCCACTTGTTTAAATTTGAGGCCCCAGAGAACAAATCACATGGCTATGAATTGGAGTTGGATAGGCCAGATAGTGGATGAGGAGGGTGAATTTCCTAGGATGGGTTTTTAACAGCAATTAGTAATGTCATGGTCACATTTATTGAGATGAGCTTTTAATTGCAGAATTATTATTGGAATTAAAATTCTATTAGCTGCCAGGGTGGGATTGAACCCTGACACAAAGCACGAATTTTATGGATTTACTAGTCCAATGGATGTTGTCACTCTGCCTCAATTTAGCATTCGTGCCCTCTCATGTGTCTTACACTGCAACAGTGACTTAACAGAAAAGTACTAAATTAGTTTGAAATCACATTGGGAAGTCCTGATGCCATGAAAGGCACCACATAATTGTACATCTTACTGTCCTTCCTTAGATTTTTGTTTCGATTTTCACAATCTATAGGAGAAGCTGAAGGCTCTTGTGGTGTAATAGTCGTCTCCTTGTCTCTGAGCCTGAAGGCCCAAGTTCAAATTCCCACTGACTCCAGAGGTGTGTTGTAACGATCCAAACAAGTTGATCAAAAATGTTTGTTATGGGAAACTGAGAGGTTAAAGTGGTCTTTGTTCTGGACTGGAGTAGACACAGGTTGAACAGTTTCCCACTCGTCCAGTGAAGAAGCTCTGCTCCAGCAGGAAACATCATGGATATTGGGTGGACTGCTGTGATGAGAAAGAGGAGTATAGTGTAGGGATAATGGTACAGCTTTGCTTGACCCCAGTTCTCACACACACATTGAGTCTGCGGTGAATCCATTGCTAGCATTTTGCTGCGGGCGGGGGAGGTGCAGAATATTACTCCCAGATCTGATTCAGCACTGAAATGATGTCTCATGCATGCATTTCCAGTATGAGTAGGAATTTCCCATGCCACTAGCCTACAAACACTGGGCAATCTCATACTCACGTACAAATTAAGAACAGAGTAGGTCAAGACCAAAACTGCCCACTCAGTTATTGAGTTGTGGTCTCACCAAAGCCCTATGAATTTGACTCAGGACATCCTTATTTGTACATTGTTTTGTTTAATATTTTCTGTTTGCAATAAAGAGTAACTTTCCATTAGCTGCCTCAATCACTTGCTGATAGCCAGCTCGCATCAGCCAGGCCAGTTGAGGTTGGGAATTGAATGTTGGGATTGCATGCTGAGCAACACGCTGCTTATACAACATAGCTCTTAATAGCAAACTCATTTAGTGAAGGCACCCCAGTGATGCTGACCTATTTTATCTTTCTCTAGCTATGCATCTGAGCAAATTGCTGCTCATTTGATTGTACAGGACTGGTGTTACATCGCCACTTTTTATCAATGCAGTACAATCCATTTGTTATGCTGATACATCAGTCATCTTTGAATCTTCCATTTCAGAGGAGAGAAGAAACTACCTGAAAACCTCCATTAAGAACTGGGAGACAAATCTCCAAGCTCAAAGCCTCTCCAAGCCACCAAGTCCAAAGAGAACTGTGAAAGATGAAGGTAAATGACTGAAAATCTGTATGAATTAGTCTGAGCCACTGCAGGAAATTTTATCCTTTCACAATACAGGCAATACAGTTCTGCTCTATGGATCGGAGACAAAAGGCCAACTATGTAGATGTTATCTATGGTTCAGTGAGTAATGCTGAAACTTCTGAGTCAGAAGATTGTGGGTTGAAATCCTGCTCCAAAGCTGCTAACACAAAGTCTGGGTCATTACTCCTGGCACTACACTGAGGAGATATCACTTTTTAGTTCATTTATGGTATGTGGGTGTCATTGGTTGTCCAGCATTTTTTGCCCATTCCTAACTGCTGGGAAGTGAAATTTAGCGGTGTTGTTGCTGAGAAGTGATAGTTTAGTGGTGTTGTTGCTGCGATGTGATAGTTTAGCAGTGTTGTTGCTGAGAAGTGATAGTTTAGTGGTGTTGTTGCTGCGATGTGATCGTTTAGCGGTGTTGTTGCTGAGAAGTGATAGTTTAGCGGTGTTGTTGCTGCGATGTGATAGTTTAGCGGTGTTGTTGCTGAGAAGTGATAGTTTAGTGGTGTTGTTGCTGCGAAGTGATAGTTTAGCAGTGTTGTTGCTGAGAAGGGATAGCTTAGCGGTGTTGTTGCTTAAGCTAGGGCTTGGGTTCAAATCCCATGAAACCAGATGATGGAATTTGAATTCAATAAAACAAAATGTGGAATTAATAATGGTGAGCCTGAAGACAATATTGATTGTTTTTTAAAAACCCATTTGGTTTGATTCCTTTTAGGGAAGGAAATTGCTAGCCTACTTGTGCCTCTGGTCTCACAGCAACATGATTGACTATTATTACAGAAAGGCAATAAACGCTGGCCCAGCCAGTGATACTAACGTTCCATGAGTGAATGCGAAAATATGTTGATGAGACACTTTCTTGAGCCACGTGTGCTATAGGTGCACCTGCAGTGCTGTTTGGGAGGGAGTTCCAGGATTTTGACCCTGTGGCAGTGAGGGCGGTGATAAAGCTCCCAGTCAGGATAGTGTGTGTCTTAGCATCTGCTGCTAGGCAGTAGAGGTCACAAGTTTGGAAGGTAGGACATTGGAAGCACTGCCTTCAAGATGCAACATTAAACAAAGGCCCCACATTCCTTTCAGATCACTCTGAGAAATCCCATTGATGAAGAACAGAGGCAATCTGCTCCATGCCCTGGCCTATCACGAAAAACGAAAATGACCATCATCACATGTTACTGTTTGTGGGAGCATGCTTTGTGCAAATTGGCTCCCATGTTTCCTACTCAACCCAGTGATTATACTTGAACTTTAACTCAAAGTGCTTTCGGCTGGACTGTAATAGTGAAAGGCACTACGTAAATGCATTTCTGTCTTTAGACGATTGCAACATCAACAGGCTCTTGAAATGCAGTTTAACTGTTTTAACCTTATGCAGACGTAATAGACCAATTGCTCCCTTCCCGCACATCAGTTTTATAATGTGTTTTCTCATCTTTAAATGATCAAAATCCCACATCAGTAATCCCTTTTCAGCGAGCAGGCTGTGCTGAAGCTTTGAACAAGATGTTGGCTAGGTACCAGTGTACTGCCTCGGGATTTACTGCAATGTGGTTTTATCATTAGGATCCCACACCTGCATAGTGTGGAGAGCCAAGCATCAAAATATTGTTTACATACTGTAAACATTTAATGAAAGAAGTTTTGTGAAAAGATAGTTTGATGTTTCTAACTTTCCTAATGCAATGAGTGTAATCAGAGGGGCAAACAGCATCTGATTTAATCTGAGATTTGGATTTTATAATGCTACATAATAGTAATTAGAGCTTGACATCTGACAGTAAAATATGTTTTCAATAGCTAAATAGTTCTTTAAATAGCAAAATATTTTTAAAATAGCTAAATAAGATACAAAACATTTGCTGATTTGACGACAAGAAATATGATATTGGTTGAAACCTGTCAAATTGATTTCAACTTGCTTAGAAAGTCAAATATCAAGGGCAAAGGTCACTGTCAGTGTATCTTTGAAACTGTGTCAGTGGCTCAGAGAGTGATTGACCTGTGCAGACCAGGAAATTCCAAGGTTCTGTCTCCAGTCTACACTGAGTTCCATGTGTGTTGGGATTAAGAGAAGGGAAAATTGGCGAGTGTTCCTCATCCTGAATGTGATCCAGCAACTTCCCACTGGATGACTATGTGAAAGAACCAAATGTGGGCAGGACTGGTGTTTCTCACGAACTCCAGGCATTCCAGTAACCAATTGTTCAGAGCATACTGCAAGAACAGGAGCCGACTATTTCTCTGCTTCACTCCTGTTCTGTCATTTACTGTGATCTAAGTCCACCTGCCCGCTAATCCTCTATATCGCTTTGGTTGATAGAAATTTATCTTCCCATGTTTAAAATTAACAATTGATCCTGTATCAGCCGCCATTTACAGAGAAGACTGATGATGCTGACATATTCATAAGTGCCTCTTGAGTGAGGTTCTACTGGGCAGTACATCAGCCATAGTGAGGATCTTTGTCTTACTCCTCGCTCGTCCTTACTCCTCCTCGACTGCCTTAATTATGAGGCTAAGTCTACACTGGGGCATCCTTGGAGAAGGAGCACGCCAGTACACTTGAGGCCTTCCATCATCAGAACGTACATGCACTGTTGTATAAATCAGTTGTACAAAAGGATTAACTTGGAAGCATTGGAACAGCTCCACACATTGATTAATAAATGGCTCTTACTGCAAGGCACTAGCCAGCTCTAGTTTGTCAGTTGTTAGTTAGTTCTACAGTCAACAGCCATACAGCACAAATCTGGTCACTATCTCTTTTCAAGAGTTAATGTAGAATTAATGGGTCACCAGACCCAAAACGTTAACTCTGTTTTTTTCTTCACAGATGCTGCCAGACCTGCTGAGCTTTTCTGGCAACTTTGTGTTGTTAAACTAATATAACCTGTTACCTTATTATTATTTAATAAATTACTTCTTGTTACTCAAGTATGTGTCCCTACTGCTGATGACTTATTAGTGGTCAATCCTGTGATGAAAGATGTGTAATATATGAATTATATTTTGGGATTTGGATTTCAAAATAGAGACAGATGGATGGGGATCTGTTCTGTGAAGGCTTTTTAAAAAAAAATGATAGAGTCAATTTGGAACAATGACCTAAATACATCAGTTCTAAGGAAGCAGTGACTGCAGGGGCGTGCCTAGAACCCCTGTTGTATCAATGGATAAAATGCTTATACTACTGGGTTTATGACAGACTGAGTAAACACATAATGCAATTAGTTTCATTTTGATGTCAGAGCAGAACCATGTTTTTCTATTCAGTTGAGGAGAATGAGTTACCTCAGTAGAAGTGGTTTCTAGTGTATGAGGATTCCAAGGCAGGAGAGCCAGGAAAGATCCTGCTTTGCTCCTGTGGATTCTGACTTTCTTTTAGCCATATAACTTTGTCGGGGTGAAAGGAAAGGAGGAGTTGCAGCTTGGCTACTTCACAAGTTTATCTGGAAAGGGAGAGCCGGGTCTTCAGGTTCCTAAAACGGTGTGGGTATTTTTTTCACATTTGTTAAACACTGCCCACACCGTGCCCCCCCCACCCCACCATTAGGATGAGGAGTAACGTGATTGTTTATTCAGGTCTTGCATGGAATGTTTAGCCCTCCTCGAGTTTAAAATTGGTAAGTTGCTTGAAGTTTTGCTTTCCACCAGGACTTTGTAAGTCTTCCTCCCAGATTTACATGTTGCCAGATTGGAAGGCAAGAATCATTTTGCCACACTTTTTAAAATTTTCATTTTTCACCAGGTTTTGAGTCAGGGGTCGGGAACCTGTTGCCCATCATTTTGGGGTCTCAATTCCACGCTAAATCTGTTTCACCAACATGGTGCTGTTTTAATATCCAAGTCCACTGGAGGTGAGCTCGGTGATCCATTAGGGGCACCATATGCTGCTCAGAGGCTCAAAGTGGCTCTGTAGGGTAATGCTCAGAGGCAGACAGCAACCACATCTGGACCTGCCACTGGCTGGCACCATTGGAGCAGGCAGGAGAACAGAGGGCAGCTCCACAGCGCACGCAAGTGGCCAAATGGTTCATTACAAGGTATTGCCTTTTGCCGCCAGTTGAGCACCTCATGTTAAACATAGGTTGGGAATCCTATATCTGAAATCCTGGGAGCTAACTGGTTTTTGACCAAAGGATATTTTTGGTTTTTAGATACACTGGTGAGATCGAGTATACTTTATAAGAGATAACAAGGTGTAGAGCTGGATGAACACAGCAGGCCAAGCAGCATCAGAGGAACAGCAAAGCTGACATTTCGGGTCTGGACCCTTCTTCAGAAAATGTGTCAGTGCTCTAGTCCTATATACTTTATAAGTCTATTTGAATGGACTGAAAAGGAATAGATTTATTTCCAGAGGGCCTGAGCTAAGGGTCTGTTTGGGTCCATTTTCAAAAGACCTTCGGTTTTTCAGCTCTTTTCAGATTGCGGATAAAGGGTACTTGATCCATAGCCCTACTATTGTTTTAAAATTCCCCTGGCACTTTAGTCCAGCAGTGACACCATTTTATTGTGGCCCACCCTGCTGCCAACAGGTTTGCACTAAACCTGCCCCCTCGCTGTCCCCACTCAATGCTTTGGAAATTTTCTTCTGTCCCTCTTCGGCTCGTGAACAAGTTCTAGGGTGAACTCAGTGGACAGTTGATTGGAGGTGATTGGCTGCTCCATCTCCATGCTCACCTTGAAAATTGCAGCGTGTTACATGCTAGAGCGCTGACATACCTTCCTGAAGTGATATTGTCAAATTGCACAGCTCCTGATAAGGGCCCTTGGATATATCAGCCTCTCCTGTTCAAACCTCTCCAAGACTTAAATCCTTCCTTTCTCCGTAACTTTCTCCAATTCTCCAACCCTCCAACATCTCTGCTTGGCCTTTTTGTGGAGTGTGTCCCATCCCGCCATTGGTGGACGTGTCTTCAACAACCAAGGCCCAAGGTTCTGGAAAGGCCTCCCTCTGACACTTCACCTCTCTTCCTTGCTTTCCTCTCTTTAATGTGATTCTTAAAACCGGTCTCTGACCAAGCTTTTAGTCACCTGCTGTCATATCATCCAACGTAGCTGAGAGAAGGGTGATTTTCTGGTTGCCAAGTGTCTTGGGATTGTTTTGTAACATTAAAGGCACCATACAAATGCAATTTAGTATTGGTACAGTTTTATATGTCTTTAGATGCAAAGCTTGGAGTATGGATCTACTGCTGGATCTGGGGCTGATACAGGAAGAGGAAGTCACAGTGTAGTAGCAATCCAGAGCCTCAGGCTAATATTCTGGAGACACGGGTTCAAATCCCACTGTTGCAGATGATTGAAATTAGAGTTAAGTAATATCTGGAATTAAAAGCTAATCTAATGATGTCCCTTATCAATTGCTGATTACAATCCTCTCTGGTTCATTAATTCCCTTTAGGGAAGGAAATCTGCCAACCTTGCCTGGTCTGGCACACATATGACTCCAGACTCACAGCAAGGTGGTTGACTCTTAACTGCCCCTTGAAATAGTTTAGAAAGCCACTTGCTACAGGGCAATGAGGGATAGGTAACAAATATAAACACCTACATCCCAGAGAGGAATATTTAAAGGAAACCGGTAATACAAACAGAGAGAGAGAAAAAGACAACATAAATGGATGCCATTCTGCACAGATGACAGCCCCTGACGCAGTGTTGGGTCCCTACTGTGGAAAATATGCACAAAAATGCAATTGTTGACTGTTGCTCAGTACAGTTTAGCTGCAGCCTTGTGTGAGAGACTCCATTTCTCCAGACAGGTCGAAACAGAGAAAATGGGGAACGTTAATCTTCGAACTTAATGTATTGATTGGCAGGCACGGAGCATTATAAGAGCCTTTTGTGTATTCCAGCCTTACTGTGCTGCTTTGAAATGCATTAAAATTATTTCCTCAAACAGATTGCCGCGTGAGAAAAAAGAGATTGCCTGGCTTTCCCTCGGTGACTGGGCAGTGAAGCTGTGACACAAGTGGCATTTATCATTGTAACTGCCACTGTCAAAGAGTTTTTATTGACCATTTGTTTCTGTCAGGCATGATGTCAGAGCAGTGTTGCTCAGAGATGAATGGCAGTTCAAAGATCACATTGCCAGGGCCGCAGGGTTTAATGGGAATAATCATAGTTTTAGTTTACGTTTTAGTTTTTGCACTCACATGGCAGCATTGTTCGAGTTTCCACCTTCTGAGCCTGTCCATTTATTTTACTTTGATGTTTTATTCAAGTATCAGTTTGATGAGGAAACCCCAAAGTCACCTTCATTTTCCCTCACTCTCAGGCTTCCTCTGAAGGGTGAGACACTATTAATGCCTCCCCTTTCTGCCTCCATCAGTGCTTATGTCCCTGTGGCTTCAACTTCATCAATTTCAGCCACTTTCACCATGGTATGTCCTTTGCATTCTCTCATAACCTAAGACTAGCTTCTCATCCTACTGTTATGACTATCCATTGTTGTTGTGTTAGCTGGGGGTCACCAGGGTAAGGCCCTCACCTCTCTGATTCACATAATTTCTGGTCCACAGGACCTGATCACAAGTCACCCTCAGGATGCAGGACTGAGAGCGTGCTGCACTGTTGGATATGCCACATTTCCTGATGAGATGTTAAACTGGCTGGAGAGGGTTCAGAAGAGATTTACCAGGATGTTGCCGGGTATGGAAGGTTAGAGTTATAAAGAAAGGCTGGACAGAATTGTTTTCACTGGATCGTAGAAGGTTGAGAGGTGACATTATAGAAGTTTATCAAATAACGAGGGGTAGAGATAGAGTTAATGGTAGTTGTCTTTTCCCTAGGATGGGGGATTTCAAGACTAAGGGGCACATCTTTAAGGTGAGAGGAGAGAGAGTTAAAAAAGATATGAGGGGCAAATTTTTTACACAGAGGGTGGTTCGCGTGTGGAATGACCTTCCGGAGGAAGTGATGGATGTGGGCACAGTTACAGCTTTTAAAAGACACTTGGATAAGTATGTGAATAGGAAAGGTTTGGAGGGATATGGGCCAACATCAGGCAGGTGGGACTAGTTTAGTTTGGGATTATGTTCAGTATGGGCTGGTTGGACTAAAGGGTCTGTTACCATGCTGTATGACTCTATGAAGCTCTGGATGCTGCCTTGGATGGATGTAAAGGATGGCAATGCATTATTTGGAAGAGGGGTAGCTGAATTATTCTGGCCACTATCTAGCCCCAAATTTGTATCACATGTTCTAGGTTGTCTGATCATTATCAGATGCTTGTAGGAGCTAACTGTATGTGAATTGGCTTCTGCATTTCCTCCATTAAAACAGCAACAATTCTCAAAAGTCCCTCATTGGCTGTAAAGCACTTTGGCATGGCTGATGGTAGTCAGGTGTGTGATATAAATGCAGGGGTTTTTCTCTTTATCTTTTACATTTCAAACTTAGCACACACTGTACTTCTCCCCATAACTTGGTAGGGCAGTGGAGTTGGAGCTTTTCCCTATAATTGGAAAGTCGAGGCCAATGGAATAAAACCTCCAATTCCGACTAGGCTATTGAACCGGGTTAGTTAGGAAGCACTTCTTCACACAGAAGCTGTTGGAAATCTGGAACGCTCTCATCTAAACAGTGTTGAGGCTGGGTCTCAGTAGAACACTTTGAAGCTGAGAATGATAGAGTTTTGTTAGCTATTTCAGGGACTTGTGAAACTAACATTCCGGTTGGCCATGAACTAATGAATGGCAAAATGTGCTCCAAGGCATGAATATCCTACTCCTTTTCCCACCTTGAAACCCACATACAGGCATTCACTCTCACCCAAGCCCCAGGACTGCATCCCACCATACTCAGTATGCCTTCCTCTTCCATGGCAACTTGAACTAATGCCCCCTAAAGTGCAATTCACAAGAATTCCAGAGCAAAGGGAAACAGCACTTTGATACTGTATGTTAATCTTCTTTTCACTGCTGTTCTTGTGAATTTCCCTGATGAGTGCAAGACAAACACTTTTCACAAATTGTGTCTTTTTCTCTGCACTTCTTAAGTTCTGTACTACCGATCCATTATCTGTTTAAATGAATTAATGCACTAACCATTGTTTGAAATGTCACAGTTGCCAATGTTATCAGAAAGTTGCATGTGACATTTTTTTATATTCAACATGGAGAAGGGAATATCTGAGACCTTCCTGGAATTATTTTAGGCACTGGGAAAAAAAGGTGGGAAGAGATGTTTTTAAAATAATAAAATAGATTTCTGCCAACAGATGATGGTTTGAAAAGAGCGCTTATTCTCTTCCACCAAAGCGATCTTGAAAAGAGATTGAGCAGACCCTGACTTTCTGGTCACTTGCCATTTTAATACTGATTGCTATCAAGCTCACATTTCTGGTCCAGGACCTGCTGTACTGCTCCAGTGAAGCACAATACAAGCTGGAGGAACAACATCTTGTTTTCTATACAGCCTTCTGGACTCGACAATGACTTCAACAACTTAAGACCACAAACACTGACCTCTATCTTTATACAATTTCACTCCTTTCCCCAACCCACCTCCCCTGTGTCACTATCTCATTCTTCACATTTTTGCTTCTGTCAATGTTCACTTTATTTATGATTGACTCCTAATCTATATCTATGACATGTCTTCTCTGCAACCATTACTCCACTCCTTAGTCATCTCCCCTGGTGTTGATGCATCTGTAGAACCTTTTGATCAAGAACCTAACTGCAATTAACTTCCAAGCCTGGCCTCACAAACAAACCACAGTTTCTTTTTAACGCAAGCTGTTGCCCACACTCCAAAGGTCATATCAGCTCACAGTCTCAGTTCACAGCACCAATCCAAAATTGACAAATGAATAAAATAATGAAACCTCAGTGAGAATTCCAACAAAGTGGAGACCATGACTAATTTAAATGGAAAATTGGATGAGCATTTGAGAGTACTAAACTTGCATGTTATAGGGACAGAGTGGGGAATTGGACCGACCCGATTGCTCTGCACAGAGCCAAACTGGACTTGCTGCGTTAAACTGTCTCACTTTGTACCATAAAGTCTCTCTGATTCTACAACTCGATGATACAAGTCAGATTGGGAGAACAGGAGCAGGAGATCAGTTCACCTTTTGAGTTATAGGGAGAGGCTGAATAGGCTGGGGCTTTTTTCCCTGGAGTGTCAGAGGCTGAGGCGTGACCTGATAGAGGTTTGTAAAATCATGAGGTGCATGGACTGGGTGAATAACCAAGGGTAGGGGAGTCAAAACTAGAGCACATAGGATTAATGTGAGAGGGGAAAGATTTAAAAAGGACCCGAGGGACAACATTTTCATATAGAGGGTGGTGTGTGAAGGTTTAGAGAGATATGGGCCAATTGCTGGCAAATGGGACTAGATTAAATTAGGATATCTGGTTGATGTGGATGACTTGGACCGAAGGTTCTGTTTCCATGCTGTATAACTCTATGACTCTAAATTGGCACAGATACTTAGATCAAATCAACAGTCATAATTGCCATCTTTATAATCTTTATGATATGTTTAATTTACATTGTTTGCCATTTCATGTGCTTCATTTTGCTGCCTGTTTGTAAAGTTGTGCGTGACAAGAATTTAACATGTTGAAAAGCTGCGTTTAATACCGTAAAGCAAGTTGGTCCTGCTGATGTTTGCCCTTGTGATGCATCTTTGTAAAGTGTAGAGATAAGCATGTTGTATCTAGGTGATAGATCAATGTTCCACTGTATGAATAGCCATTGGATTATTGGGAAAAAAGGACGGACTGCACTACAGTAAACACACTCTATCATTCTTCCACCCCCAAAGGGATCAACTCATCAAATATTTGCTCCAAATTAATCCTGGTCCCTTTGGTTTTCCAGCTGAATCCCGTTCTTCTGGCATTTTTGCATGGAGAGAAGGTCAGAAATTGGTGAGAATGTTGCTTGGTCCACCTCCTAAATGTCCAAATGTCCTGACCAAGGATCTTGATCATGATGAAAGGAACGATTGTGACACATCAGGTAATTTTGCAAACTCTTTTGGCAAAGTTAAGAAAGGAATCTTGCCCGCTCCTGTTGACTTTGTGCTTTTCTCTGGTGAGAAAATGGTGAATACCGTCAAGTAGATTTCACCTAAATTGAAAAGCATTCCAAAAACATTGCAACAAAATAGCGTGGATGATGGAGGTCAGCAAGAAAATCAGAAAATGGCAGCTTTCCCTATTCTAAAACTTCAACTTTGCATTGAAGCTGAAATAACTCCAAGAGGCTGATATCCCTTCACCAACTCACCCTTTATTTACATGTGCACAAAATTGGGCTGTGGTTAGCCAGCTCAGAGCCAGTCCCTAGGCTGAGGAAACTTAACCAAGCGGCGACTCGGGGACCGCTTTGCAGAACACCTACGCTCGGTTCGCAACAAACAACTGCACCTCCCAGTCGCGAACCATTTCAACTCCCCCTCCCATTCCTCAGACGACATGTCCATCCTGGGCCTCCTGCAGTGCCACAACGATGCCACCCGAAGGTTGCAGGAACAGCAACTCATATTCCGCTTGGGAACCCTGCAGCCCAATGGTATCAATGTGGATTTCACAAGTTTCAAAATCTCCCCTCCCCCCACCGCATCCCAAAACCAGTCCAGCTCGTCCCTGCCTCCCTAACCTGTTCTTCCTCCCACCTATCCCCTCCTCCCACCTCAAGCCGCACCTCCATCTCCTACCGACCAACCTCATCCCGCCCCCTTGACCTGTCCGTCCTCCCTGGACTGACCTATCCCCTTCCTAACTCCCTACCTACACTCACCTTTACTGGCTCCATCCCCGCCTCTTCGACCTGTTTGTTTCCTCTCCACCTATCCTCTCCTCTCCTACCGACCAACCTCATCCCGCCCCCTTGACCTGTCCGTCCTCCCTGGACTGACCTATCCCCTTCCTAACTCCCTACCTACACTCACCTTTCCTGGCCCCATCCCCGCCTCTTCGACCTGTTTGTTTCCTCTCCACCTATCCTCTCCTCTATCCCTCTTCTATCCGCCTCCCACTCTCTCCCTATTTATTTCAAAACCCCCTTCCCCTCCCCCTTTTCTGATGAAGGGTCTAGGCCCGAAACGTCAGCCTCTCTGCTCCTATGATGCTGCTTGGCCTGCTGTGTTCATCCAGCCCTGCACCTTGTTGTCTCGGATTCTCCAGCATCTGCAGTTCCTACTATTTCTGAATCTCCTGTTTGTCTCTGTCAGCCAGGTTGACAACCCCAATCAGGGATTGCATACTGAATGGATCCACTGGCCCTCATTCCAGTCACTATAAAAGCGAAGCCAGTTCATCTACATTTTAATGATTCAAGACAATGTACGAGCTAATTGGCAGCTATTCAACAGAAACAATTTGCATTCCATCAGACGAAAGGTCGCCAGACTGAAACATTAAGCTACTGAATTTTTGCAACTTTTTATATTTTAGTTTCAGATTTCCAGCATCTGCTGTAGTTTGCTTTTGCTGAAAGTACTGAGATTTTTTGGAAGTGTTTTGGGAGATGGAGTGTGATCCAGTTCTGCGAGAGTTGGGTTTGAGGAGCCTGTTTGGAAAGATGTAACAAATAATCTGTTAGTTTACAAAAAGAATTGGCTTTTTTAAAATCAACAATTGGCAATTAAATCCTTTGATTTATTTCGGTAATAAATCATGAAGACCCTAGCACATCCTCTTTCTGCTCTGCGACTGTCAAATTTGTCAATGTTTTCTTACTTTTACCTGTTATGTCAGTATAATTTACAGCAATTTGTAATTACTGTTTTTGTTTAATAAACAGCCGACCAGCAAGCGAAAGACCTAGAGGAATACAATCCAACTGCTTCACTTGAAAGGAGTCCCAGAAGAAGACTTTGCATTACAAAAGAGGGTGATCATAGCTGTACTTGTGTTAAAACTGGTCTGTCAGACTCCGAGCAGCTCGTTCCAGAGGTATTGCCATTGACTGGAATCTTAGATGGTTTGGAATCTCAAAAAGATGTTGGAAAGAGTCAAAGTTCTACTTTGAAAATGGGAAATGACGGTCCAAACCGTAAACAAGAACATGGTGAATGTAGTTGCAGGGGACTTGTGAGTCCTAAGAAACATGGCTATTTCATCTGTCATAAAGACAAGCCAAGAAGTCCAAATTCTGGTCCCACCAGCCCTCCAAGATGTTGTAGCCCTCGATTGGGATCACGTCCTGAAAGCAAGAGACATTTATCGCCTTTGAAAAGCAGGCTGCGTTCCTTTAGCCCATCTCCAAACCATCCTGGAGTCAGAAACCAGAAGGGGGGAGGAGTGGGGACTGAAGAGCGCCGACGATCGCCACAGGCCCGCAGTTACAACGCAGACGAGGTCCGTGAGTATATGAACAGGCAGTTGGCCGAGCACAAGAAGAAGGAGAGGGAAGAGAAACGCTCAGTGAAGCACGCTATAGAGATGAGGAAGAAAAGACTGCAGGAAGTCTACAGGAAGCAAAGAGAGGCTCTCTCAAAGAAAACAAGAGGGAAACAGAGGAGCAGTTCATTGGGTGCAGGGGAAAAATCTACAAAACAAGTGAGTTCCAGGCTTATAAGAAAACTTCATGATTTTGCAATTATCAAAGATAATCTGGACTTCTCCCCTTTGGCACAAGCAGCTGCAGAAAACTGTTACCACCAGGAAGAGTGACAGTGTTACTGTTGGATTGCCATAAATGCTCAACTGGTTCACCAGAGTCCCTTTGGGAAAGGAAATCTGTCCTCTTTACCCGATCTGGCCTCTGACTGACTCAATTCCCATACCACTCCAATTGGTGCTCTGTAGAGTTCTAGTGAGCCTTCCATTTTATCAACCCACCTTCTCAGCGTAATAAAAAAATGGGCTTTGCCAGTGATGCTCACATCCTGAGAATGAGTAATAAAAGAGAAAAATAGGAACTTTGTGATCTGGAGGTTGATTTTATTGCTTACAACTTGGTACATGAGGAGAGTATCAAATTTCATGCATTCGGCATCACACCACTCAATATATCCCTTTTGTAGATGTATCCTCTCTCTTTGTGTCTCCACTCTCTACCACCCCCAGTCCAACAGTATCAAGGCCACTCAATGTTTGCTCATGTCCTGGCCTTGTTCATTTTTACCTTCCTGTGTTACTTTTGTTTTATTTTTCTTTTAATAAATGCTCTGAATTAGTGAGACTTAATGCTTTCAAGAATGTTCCTTTCTTCATGTTTGTTTATTGTACAAAAGCAAATGGAAATTTGCCTGATAATTTAGTGGGTCTGTGCATAGCTAGGATAGGACCCAAAGGGCTTCCATCTGTGTTGTAACTATTTGAACCATTGACTATAAAGTGCCTCAGTATATCCTTCTCAAGGATAACTATCTAGGACCAAAAAAACGCACACCAGGTTTCACCAATAAACAAGAAAATTTTTTTATGAGAAATAAACTTTTTGATAAGTGCAAAATGGATTATTATCTACTACTATGCAAACTTAAACTACATCCCCTTTAAACACAAGCAAGCACACATTCATTCACAAATAGGACAGTCAAGACAGAGAGTTCTGTAGAAATATCATGGGTGGAAAGTATCAGCAATAAGAAACAAATTCTATGGATCAAGAGGTTATACCACAAAGGTGAAATGATCCGACTTCTCACAATTCTTGTGTCTTTTTTTGGTGATAATATTAATGTAGTTGTTGACCCCAGAGTGATAGAGGATCCTAAATTTGGTAGCCAGTCTGTTGGACCTTGGTCTTTGCTTGAGTTAGAGGTTCCTCTTTCCAGAGAGTTTGAGGGTCGTTGCCATCCATTCACAGAGGGTGAGAAAGAGAGAGATCTGACTTTTCTCTTAGGCTTTCTGGAGGTCTGAGTTCAATTGCTGTCTTCCCAGGTCTGTGTCAAACTACAGACTAAAAATCTAAGAGGCTGTTGCTAGTCATCTTTTCAACTCCTGATGCCAGCTCATCTCACAACGTGTCAAATCCAGCTTCTCCACACAGTTCTACTTTTGACCTTTGAGTTTCAAAAGCAAAAACAAAAGCACATGCTACTTTCCCTGTACCACAGCAGAATGAAATCTTATTTTATCAAGATAGATGGAGGGACAGGTGATGTTGAGGAAGTGGGGAGGCTGCAGAAGGACTTGCACAGGCGAGGAGAGTGGGCAAAGAAGTGGCAGATGGAATATAATGTGGCAAAGTGTGAGGTTATATATTTTGGTTAGAAGACTAGAGGCGCAGACTATTTTCTAAATAGGGAAAGGCTTTGGAAGTCTGAAGCTCAAAGGGACATGGGAGTCCTAGTTCAGGGTTCTCTTAAGGTTAACATGCAGGTTCAGTTGGTGGTTAAGAAGGCAAATGCAATGTTGGCATTCATTTCAAGAGGGCTAGAAAACAAGAGTAGAGATGTACTGCTGAGACTGTATAAGGCTGTGCTCAGACTGCATTTGGGATATTGTGAGCAGTTTTGAGCCCCGATTCTAAGGAAAGATTTGGTGGCATTGGAGGGGTCCAGAAGAAGTTTACAAGAATGATCCTGGGGATGAGGATCTTGTCCTCTGAGGAGTGGTTAAGGAATCCAGATTTATGCATGATGGATTTTAGAAGGATATGGGGGATCTGACTGAAACTTACAGGATACTGAGGTAAGGAAAAATTTCTTCAGCTAGGGGGTGGTGACTCATAGAAAGCTGTGGTCGCCAAGTCATTGAATGTATTTAAGACGGAGATAGATAGATAAGTTCTTGATTAATAAAGGGATCAAGGGTTACAGGGAGAAGGCAGGAGAATGGGGTTGAGAAACATATCAGTCACGATCAAATGGTGGAGCAGACTTGTTAGACTGAATGGCCTAATTCTGATCTACGTTTTATGGTCTTATGGTCATTTTCCCACTTTATAATCCAAAATGAAATTAGTCTTTCCAGTATTCTGTAGGGAAGCTTAATTATCTAATTCCTGGAAACTTGGATGTAATCATATCTTTTTGTTTCTATTTCCTCTGGTTACAATGATGACTTTTAGTTAAAAACTGCAAGATGGAAATTGGTGGTATTTATTGAGCAATGGTTGTCAGCCAGACTGGATGTAAGATCTTATCCAATTGATTAGCAGAGCAAGTCCTGATGGGCTGAATGGCCTTTCCCCATTTGCTGCTACCTTCTTCTCTAACTAATTGCTTCGCTGGAAGGTCATAAGGCAAAAACCCGACCTTGAGTCATAAACCCAATATTAGGGCAGATGGCAAAAAAAAACGTATTCAGAGGGGCAGGTTTTAATGAGGGCAAGAGTTGGCGAGATTTCGGGAAGGAATTCCAGAGCATAGGGGCCAGGTAGCTCAAGGCATAGCCCTCCTTGATGCAATGCAAGATTGCTTGGACATAGCTTTCATTAAAGTGTTAGCTGCAACAGGCAATTCATCTCGAGACTTTGTACCCTGGCTGGGAGGGCTGTATTAAAAATAATGCTTGTATTTCCTATTAGTTCTGATGCTGAAATTCATGAAGTAAGGCAAATTTATTATTGATCTTCTCACTTTTTCTTCACAGGTAACGAGAGTGGGTGCAGCTCAAGTGATTAAAGCTCAGGCATCAGCTCAAGCCAACACAGAGCCTGGAGACTTCAAGGAAAGGTACTGATTATCAAAGTTGAGTTGCAATTTGATAGACAGTTACAAAGGTTGAACCTGTACCCACTGGAGTTTAGAAGAATGGGAGGCAGCATACAAGAGTCTTAGGGGACTCAGCAGAGTTGATGCGGAAAAGCTGTTTTCACCTTGTGGGAGTGTCTAGGTGCCCCAAGAGGGCGTCATCTCAGATTAAGGAGTCATACACTTAAGACAGAATTGAGGAGGAATTCTTCTCTCCGAGAGTAGTGAATCTGTGGAATTCTTTACCGCAGAGGGCTGTAGAGGTTGGTCATTAAGTATATTCAAGACTAAAATAGACAGGTTTTCAGTCATTAAAGGAATTAAGGATTATGAGGAAAAGGCAGCAAGGGGTAGTTGAGGATTGTCTGATCAATCATGATCTCATTGAATGGTGAAGCAGGCTTGATGGGCAGAGTGGCCTACTTCTGCTCTAATGCCTTCTGGTTTTAAAGTCTTAATCATTCTAATAGCTATCTGAATGTTGATTTGACCCAATAGAGTGCCCACTGTAGAACTGATCGCAGAGACTGAGGAGATCCATGTTTTTGATCCATGATCTGTGTTGAATTTGTTGACCTTGAACAAGAAAGTATAGTATACTGAAATGGTCACTTGCAATCCTGATTGAAGAAACTGACAGTTTGGTTTCCCGTTGCTCGATCGTTCAATAATCTCAGTTGGCTTTTATATAACTAATTGTGGAATATGGACGTCTCTGGCTAGGACAGTGTTTGTTGGCCATTCTGAATAGTGGAGAGCTATCTTGTTGTGCCGCTGCAGTTCATGTGGTGCAGGGACACCTGATGTTGTACGGAGGCATTTTAAGCATTTGACCCAGCATCAGCGATGGAGCAGCAATATCATTGCCAGTCAGGATGGTCCATGTTCTTAGAGGGGAAGTTGTTGGTGGGTGATGCTCCCATGCATCTGCTACTCTTTGCCTCCTTGGGGGGTGGAGGTCAAGGGTTTGGAAGGTGCTGTCAAAGGAGCCATTGCTGAGTCACGACAGTGCACCTTGTTTGTGGTACCCATTGCCCATCTGTGCACTCACTGGTGGAGGGAATGTATGTTTGAGATGATAGACAGGGGACGAATCAAGTGGGTTTCTTTGTCCTGGATGGTGTCAAGCTTCTTGAGTGTTGTTGGAGCTGCAACCATCCAGGCAAGTGGGGAATATTCCATCACATTCCTGATTCATGCCTTGTAAATGGTGGACAGGCTGGAGCCTGGATGTAGGATCACATTCAATAGTCTCATCCTGTACATCGCCAGCATCCATCTTGCAGTCCTAAACACTCCAAGTGACCACTTCACTGAGTTATATGAGGGTCCCTTTCATATCCTTGGAATGTCCCAAAATGCTTTTCAGCCATTGAGTTACATTTCAAGTTTTGTCACTTGTAATGTAGATAACATAGCAGTCACTTTTTAATATTCACGCATGCAATGTGGGAATCTTTGGTTGGGCCAGATTTAATGCCCATCCCTAGTTGCCCTTGAGAAGGTGGTGGTGAGCTGCCTTCTTGAACCGCTGCAGTCCATGTGCTGTAGGTTATGTACAGTACTTATGCACAGTAAGCTCCCATCAACAGCATCGTATAATGACTAAATCATCTGTTTCCCTAGTGATGTGGGTTGCAGGTGAAATTTTGAACAGGACCCAGGGGAGAGAACCGCGCCCCCAACCCCCACCTCTGAATAGAATCGTAAACCCTCATCTCCATCACACTTTTTTCTACATCGCATTCAAAAGACAGCACCTCTGATAGTGCGGCACTCCCTCGGTACTGCCATGAGATTATTGATCTGTGATAATGGTCCTGACTAACAAGGATAGGGAGACCCATAGTAAACCTGACAGCTGCTCTAAAGACCCACCTAGACAGCCAAGGAGGCCTTACTGAACTGTGTGGGTGTGCAGCAGGGGCTGACAAAGGCTGTTGTCAAGACTCCACACAGTGCGAGTGATGGGGGCTGCACAGTACTTAACCCGTGTAAAAAGCAATTATACTCTAAAGCAAGCCCTGACATATCCTGGTTCACAAGTCCATGTCACTGCCAAAGAGAAGTATTTTGTTATATAATCCATTTCCTGTCACTGAAGTGTTACACTGTGGGCCTTCCAAATGCCAATTAGAGACTCGATGAATTGATTAAGTAATAAATTGGGTTGTCCAAGCTCCTTCTGTTGTAACTGAGGTCTCCTTCTGTTACTCCAGTCTTGTGCAGCGGGGTCACTGTTGAGGATTAGTCAACAGTGGTAGCTCATTGTTTTAGATATTTTTAGTTAATCAGTTCAGAGATGCTATGACATGCCTCAGGAACAGATAGAGCTAGAACGCAAGCCTTCTGGCTCAGAGGTAGGGACTTTACCAATGCACCACAGGACCCCTGCAGCTTACTGCTTCAACTGTAGATAAGCCCTTGCAGCTCAGTCGACCAAGACAAGAGACAATGGATGGTGTGAAGGCCAATAGGATGACCAATAGGATTTGTTCTGCAGCACACCATGCCAAGCTGTGCCCCACCAACAATTCACTATATCATTCCTGCCAGCCCCTCAGCCCTCTTCTTGGCCCCTACCCTCTCTACTCATCTATCCTACCCTCAGCCCCTCATTCCATTGTAGCATAACCCATCCCATCCCTGAAACCCCTCATAACCTCAGCCCCCATTAGCCCAAATCCCCTTGTGCCCTCACCCCTCCTACCCCAACTCCTGATGCCTTCCTGCCTTCAACCCCATGTCCCCTCATACCCCCATCCCTCCCACATCACATCTCCACATGGCCTCACCCTTCCTATCCCTTGTACATTTACTCCCTCATGCCTCCACCCCTCCATATACTCACACCCTCACAGCTTTTCTCTACCTACCTTTCCCTTCTCCTCAGACCTTCAACATTCCTGTCTCTTGCCCACTTTTATCCTCACGCTTCTCCCTCCCATCCCCATCACTTTCAACAATTGTCACTATTTCTCTCCCCACCCCTACCCACCAACTCACACACCATTTCATGAGTCAGCCCCCCTTGCCTACTCATGTTGTGGTTCAGTGCTGGGGTGTCTCTGCTGTCCATCAGAGAGTCTCTGGGGCTGAGTGGACAAAGCACTGTCCATTTCACTGTTAGCAATGATATGAAACCCCCTGGTCTTAGCAATCTTAGACAAAGGATATCAAATGTTACAGAAGCAAGCCAAGTGGATGGAGTTCAGATACAGATCAGGCATGATCTAATTGAACAGTGCCGAGTTTGAGGGACTGAATGGCCTCCTTCTGATCTAACTTAGTTAACCGTGAGGTGGTCAGACTCTGTCCCCATCAGTCCCTGGCCACTCCGTACCTTTCCCTAGACAGGCGCCAAATCTTTTCTTGTTGATGTGATGGAAAACAGTCAACATGGTGTTGAAGAGGGAACTACAGCCTTGGTCTTTCTCCCCTGAGACTCGATGAGCAATTGGCAGTATCTTCACTCACATAGGGAAAGACTAACCTCAAATGAGGAATTTGATCTTAACTTCACTGCAAAGACATTTGGGCCTAAACTCATCCGTCAACCACTACTATTTGAAGAAAACTTCATTGAGTTATTCATGGGGATAGAGGGAGAGAATTTGACCTATCACAGCTCCATTATTACTTCTTTTTCCCCCATTGATTCTCATCACTCTGAAGCTACTTGAATCAAGTGTCCATCAAACTTCCTGTTTGAAATTATTGATCTTCAACACCAGTGGCAGTGAGTACAAGGTCACCATTGGCTGCATCAAAAAAAAATTTCTTGTTCAAAATTCTTCACTCTTACGAAGCATTCCTCAGTGCAATTGAATGCTCTCGTGTGCTTTTCATTGTAAAAAGTAACAATTGGTCTTTTATTACACAGCGGGATATATCGGTGGGAGCTGAATGATACCAAGAGACCATTCCACCATTATCTATCCAGCAAATATAGCCCGTTGAGACTTCAAGACTTGGAATCATGTCGACACTCTCAAGAGTGTTCCTCCCCACCAGCTCAGCTTTCACGGTCCATTGATGAGCTCCTGCCTCTGGCACACCGTGAGGGGGAGATGAGCTGTAAAGCCAGTAGCATGGGCTACAAGGACAAGCAGCAACGTATCGAAGACCTCTGCTCCATGGCAACAGCCCTCAGTGGCCGCATTGAGAACGAAGCTCGAAGGCTGGGTGTGGAGGCAGATGTTTGGAAAAGACCCGGGAGCCAAAGCTGGGACAAAGGGTGGGAGCGGGCCGATTTGCGTGGCTTCACACGAGCAGATCCTATGGGCAACTGGACTGACCACAATGACCCGAAGCGGCAGCTTGTCCCAAGCCCTGAGCCAGTCCCGTCACCACGGGTCTCACTGTGTGACTTCCTACCTGCCCGACATCAAGAGTGGGAAGAGCAACAGGGAGCTGCTGTACCCGAGGACGAGATGGTGGACGAGAAACTCAACTTGCAGGATGACCATCCCGAGGATGGCCTGCTGTGCAGCTCCTTGTTGAAGAGCGAGTGCAACATCCAGTGGAGTGACTCGGAATCTTTGATGGAGCGTGGATTGTGCAGTAGACCCAGAGTGATAGATAATGCCCTGACAGGGAAGCAGAAAGGTAGGATGATACATTCTGTCATTTATCCCATCTTCCCCAGAACTTTTCTGGAATTATTCTGCTGTCTGATTTCATTCCGCTTGTGCAAATTTCAACTCAGAATGTGGGTATTTCTGGCAAGGCTGGCATTTTACAGCCTGCTGTCCTGTTGTCCTGAGAAATTGAAGCCGTCTTTACTCATCGTATGCAGATTCTGTTGATGAGATACAATAGCAGTGGGCATTCTTTAATTAAGTACCTAGAGCATTTGTAAATAGAAACAGCAGGCCAGTGGAGGGACCTCTTCTGGGCTCAGACAAGATGGCTGTTAATGGTTGCAGGTAGCAGGCTGTAGAGGGGGTGGTTAGACCTGACTGCTGGCCTTATTTCTATGATTAAGTCCACACTCGGGTAACAACAGAGAGGGAACACACAGTGTCCATTGGCACACAGGGTCTTTGTGACCAGTGGGCACCGCAGGGGGCTGGAGTGCATTATCTTCCCCACAAAAAGCAACATTTTGAAATAATGTTTCCTTTGGACTTCTGTCCAGTGCTCCTTTTAGAGGCCATCACTTGTTAATTTGGGTTAATTTTGGCTTTTTTCACATCCGTTGTTTTAGTACATTGGGTTAGTCAGGAGGAAGCATATGTGCAGAACACTGCATTCCGTGAAAATTCCAAAGATGAAGAGAAGTGTCTTATTTCATCATTCGCCACTTGACTTGATATTGAGAAGATCTTCCAGCAATTATTCTTTCAACTGAGCGACTTGCTTAGCCGCTTGCAAGAGGCATTTGAGAGTCAATCAAGCAGATTGATTGAGACTCTTGTGGGTCCCAAATACACTGATCCAGGTTTAGGGGTGTTTGAAGTGGGGAGAAAGTTGTGATTGGGATAAGGGTTGGGCAGTTTCCCGCTCTGTAGGGCATTTATGTATCAATGGGTTTTTTTTTTACAATCTACCCAGTTTTCTCACAGCTCAAGTCCCTGGCTTCAGTGGCCCATTTGGAATGGAATCTCTGGGATAATAGCTTGATGGTGGAACCATTATGGTGGCTCAGTGGTTAGCACTGGGTTCAATTCCAGCCTCGGGTGATTTTTCTATGTGGAGTTTACACATTCTCCCCGCGTCTGCGTGGATTTCCTCCAGGTGCTCCAGTTCCTCCCATAATCCAAACATGAGCAAGTTAGGTGGATTGACCATGCTAAATTGCCCATCGTCTTCAGGGATGTGCAGGCTAGGTGGATTAGCCATGGGAAATGCAGGGATAGGGTAGGGGTTTGGGTCTGGGTGGGATGCTGTTTGGAAGGTTGGTGCAAATCATAGAATAGAATAGAATCCCTACAGCGTGGAAACAGGCCCTTTGGCCCAACAAGTCCACACCGAACCTCAGAGCATCCCACCCAGACCCATCCCCCTAATCCACACCTCCCTGAACACTACGGGCGATTTAGTATGGCCAATCCACCTAACCTGCACATCTTTGGACTGTGGGAAGAAACCGGAGCACCCGGAGGAAACCCATGCAGACGCGGGGAGAATGTGCAAACTCCACACAGACAGTTGCCCGAGGCTGGAATCGAACCCGGGTCCCTGGCGCTGTGGGGCAGCAGTGCTAACCACCGAGCCACCAAATGTGATGGGCTGAATGGCCTCTTTCTGCATTCTCGAGATTCTATGATTCTAACCACCCTACAACTGTACATGACTGATGTCAAGGACTGTGGGAGATGGTTAGTTCCATTGGCTAAAGTGTGGAGCGGTGCCAGCAGTTCAGGATCAATCTTGTGCCTGCTGTTTTGTCATTCATTCCTTCACTCAATATGGAGTGGTGGTTCTCAAGGAATTTCCTTCTAAGTACTTATCCTGCTGTGTAGATCCCTGAGGTCCATGCACAGCAGTGACTTCTGCATGCTGCATTCAATATGTGAGCATGCTGATCATTGTGTGTGGAACCTCCCTCAAGCTGTTTAACCACTTGCCTTTCCTCCAACAGAGATGCACATAGTTTCTCATGGACTCGGGCTAACTGGTGTCCAGGTTGAAATAACTTTTGTTTTTAATTTCTGAAATCCAACGATTGAACAATAGAAGCCTCAATCCCTTTATCAAGCCACTTAAATGAGAGATCTCTGGTCCCTTGCCATTCTGCCATGTTGATGGGACAATGGATGAATGGAAAGCGGTAGATCAAGTTGTGTTTAAATGGACCAATAGACGGGGACACGCATGCACACACGTGTATATACACACACACACACACACACACACACACACACACACACACACACACACTCACTCACTCACTCACTCACTCACTCACTCACTCACTCACTAACACACACACTCTCACTCGCTCACACACACACACGCACACGCACACATGCGCAAAAGCTCTGGGAGGAAGGAAAACTGGGGGTCAAAATATGTTGGGCTGCTGTGCAAGAGGCACAGAGTAACTGTTCCACCTGTGAGAGTTCTCTGACTTATCCAATTCAAAGTCACAACTTGCAGCATCTGATGAAGAAAAGGTTGGTTGGTTTAATTCTGGTTTGAAGTGACTTACTGCAGAGAATTGAGAGAGAGAGTTATCAGCTCTGCAGACCTGCTGGTTTCCCTTTTGTTCTGAGCTACTTTATATAGTGGCACGGTGGCTCATTGGTTAGCACAGCTGCCTCACAGCATTTGCGTTCAATTCCAGCCTCGGGTGATTTTTCTGTGTGGAGTTTGCACATTCTCCCCCTGTATGCCTGACTTTCCTCCCACAGACCAAAGATGTGCAGGTTAGGAGGATTGGCCATGCTAAATTGCTCATAGTATCCAGGGATGTGCAGGCTAGCTGGGTTAACCATCGTAAATGTAAGGTTTCAAGGATAGGATAGGGTAGGTAGGGGGTAGGTCGGGGGTGGCATGCTCTTCAGAGAGCTGGTATGGACTCAGTGGATCCAATGGCCTGCTTCCACACAGTAGTCATTCTGTGATGTTATATGTCTGGTTCACAGCCTAAACTGTTTGACGAACTAGCTAATAAATGTTGGTAGGCAGGGGACCTTTGTTATTGATCATTGGTCTCAAGTTGGTCACAACCTTAGTGACGAACCAAACAGCTTTACAGTTCGTCTGCACATTGCCGGAACTCATGCTGCATCAATGGGATTCACAAAAGGTATCAAATTCCTTACTGTGAATGTGCAGCCATCCTTATAAATTCCTTCCTTAAAACAACTCTTTTCTCATTTCAGCATAAAAAGCATAAAAATAAAAAGACACGGTCTTTACAGGCTCAGTATCAGACTTTGTTTTACAGTGGTCCAGTATAGCAGCTGGGACATTTTATTGCATCAAAGGTACTATTTAAATGATTCTTGGCGTTGATAAGTTTTGCAGAGATCTCTCAGCTTTGTAAAGAGTATACATAAAATTGACCAATTTGATGAAAAATTCCTCCAGTTCCTGATTGAAGAATTGAACTGTTGCATTACTGGATAGCTCGTCATCTGATGATTTTTACTTTCGTATTTACAAGTGTTTTAACAAACTATCTTTAAGGATCATTTGTTAAATTTATCTTGGCCTGTCTTTCAAAGTGTCTGAAGCATTTTAATCCAAATTTTCTTTTTTCTGGTCTGCCTTTGTTCTCAGAGATAGTTAATAAAAGTACCGGTGTCCAGAGATTCTTCAGCGAACTGGACCAAGAAGCAACAAGAAATGTCAAAACTCATGAGCTCCCTTTTGAAACAGTCCGGTTTGAGAACAGATTCCCAAGTGGAAGGTACTGAATGATTGTGACACTTTTGCTGAAATGATCCAATATAATGGTGTTTGGAAATCATCAGAATATTCAGAAAAGTGCATTGCACAAGAGGCACTGAAAAGTCATTGAGCACCAAATGAGGCCACATAGCCGACTGTGTCCATGCAGATTCTTCGGAAAAGCTACCCAATTAGCCCTTTTTTTGTTACTTTTATTCATTTTTGGGATGTGGATGACACTGGCTGGGCCACCATTTATTAACCGTAGCTAGTTGTCCTTGAGAAGGTGGTGGTGTGTTGCCTTCTTGAACTGCCACTATCCTATACCCTACTCCATCCTGCAGTCTCTGTCCCCTTCAAACATTTATTCCAGATGAAAGTTGCTCTTGAACCTGTTCCTGCCAATCTTTGAGGCAGTATGTTTCAGATTACGACAACGCAACCTTTTTTTTTGTTTTAAAATGCTTCTTCAGGACACCTTTGGGTTGTTTACGCAATTTATGCTGTTATTTGTGACTTGAAATGTCTGCCTTCTGGACCTCTGACAGGACTCTCTGCATCAAAAACCAGTTCAAAATGATGTCCAGAAACTGGTCTCCTAACTCTAGCGATATCCACATCACTGATATACATTATTGCTGGGGATTTGAACCTCGGTCAAAACCCCCTGTAGGCTTTTAGGGGTGTCATGCTGCCTATTAAATAAAGTACGTTCCTCCTCGTCAGTTTCACCTGACAGTGTATGATATGATCCCAGTCCAAGAGTGCTTATGGCATAGTGGTAGTATCCCTACCTCTGCCTCAGGAGGCCTGGGTTTGAGACCCACCTGTTTCAGAGGTGTGTAATAGCATCTGTGAGATTGATTAAAAAACGGGTATGATCCCAGTCAGGGAAGATAAGCTGCCCTAACAAACCTTCTGACAGAATATCATGATGAGAATTTACTTTCCTATGCACATTACCCAGAGGGAACTGTTTTAGTATAGGCCCTTCTATTCTTCATATAAACTCGGACCAGACTCAGGTTTAGAGTCATAGAGTCACACAGCACGGAAACAGACCCTTTGGTCCAAACAGTCCATGCCGAATGTAGTCCCAAACTAAACTAGTCCCACCTGCCTGTTCCTGGCCCACATTCCCCCAAACCTTTCCTATTCATGTCCTTGTCCACATGTCTTTTAGATGTAATTGTACTCGCATCCACCACTTCCTCAGGGAGTACATTCCACATGTGAACCACCCTCTGTGTAAGAAATTTGCCCCGTATGTCTTTTTTAAATCTCACTCCTCTCACCTTAAAAATGTGCCCCCTAGTCTTGAAATCCAAGGCAAAAGGCAACTACCATTAACTCTATCTATACCTCTCATTACACGTATATGACAATAAGGCGGCAGAGCCCACTGCTGTTTGCTGCTTTAGTTCCAATCTCTTAGCAGAGTCCCTGTCACATTACTGCTGAGGTCATGGTGTACCTCAGAAGCTCAACTGCATGCTTTTATCTCCACAGAATGAATCGGGGCCTGTTTGTGTGTCCCATGTGAGCAATAAAAAAATCTTGTCAATTCTGATAATAATATTGCAGTTTTAACTGAGCTTAATCCCAGTTCAAATAGATCTTGTATTAACCAGCGAGATACTTAAAGTCCTAAAGTCATTTTGGCACAGAAAGAGGCCACTTGTCCCCTTGAGTCGATGCCAGACCCCTCCATGCGACGTGTTAGTTATACTGGGGAAGCTCACAAATTCATTTAAAATGGGAATGTGTGCTGACTCCAGCTTTCAATGCTGGGTGGTGGGGGGGGCTTTAATCTCCAGCCCAATATGTTTTCTGTAGAACCCAGGCAGCTCCACTCTTTATTATCTTTCGATTTCTTCTTCTCTGGGCTATTGTGTTTTAAATTTCATTTAAATTTCACCTGGACATTTGGAAAGCTTAGCTCTCCTGTTGTGGAGGGATATCTGAAAACAAATCATTGAGACTTACAGCATGTAGATAACAACAGCATTGCTGTAACTTGTACTCTGTGACCTGTAAAGCTTTGTAGAATAGACCCAAGAAGCTTGTGGTTTAGACCTGAACAGGAGTGGTGAGGTCTTTCAAGATCAATTGAGCAACGTTAAGAGAGTAGTCACGGGAGAATTTTGTTTGCCATTTCACTCCAACCAGAGTGTCAACAAACATGTCCAGGATACAATCAAGATATGCATGTCAGGAGAACTGCATAAATAATAGAACGGTTTCTTGCAAGCAGGGGATTGTGGGGATTGCAGCCATCATTGGTAACCAGTTGCAGCCAGTTTTGACATGAGGTGAGAGTGAGGTGGAGCTATTAGAGGTGTCAGGCGTTGTGACGAAACTTCTGAAAAATACGTTCCAGTCAGAAACAAAAGCAGGAAGTGCAGGAGAAGCTGAGCAGGTCTGCCAGCATCTGTGGAGAGAAAAATAGAGTGTAGGGTTTTGTCTCTTTGTTGGAAATGGTCCAACTAGAGTTGGCAGTTCAGAAGGTTGTGGGTTCAAGCCCTATGCGAGAGACTTGAGCTCAAAATCTGGGCTGACATTCCTGGGGAGTACTGAAGAAGTGCTGCACCGTAACTGTCTGATGAAACTTTGAACCTGCTTAGGTGAATATAAAAGATCCTACTGCACTATTTTGAAGAAGAACAGAGGAGGCATACCTGGTGTTTTGGTCAATATCCATTTCCCGATCACTATCACAAACCTTGATTACTCAGGTCATGTTATCTCATTTGTGGGAGCTTGCTGTGCACAGACTGACTGTCATGTTTCCTTTCTTGACAATAATGTCTGCATTTCATTGATAATTCATTCTGGGAAGTGCTTTGGAATCAAGACCAGATGCAAAAGGTGTGCAATACAATCAAATTCATACCGTATTTTTAGGTCCTGTGATACACATATTGTCCACTAGATGACAATCTTGCTCTGTCTTTCTGTGCCCTGGCCCACTGAACAGAATTGAGACGATTTATCAATTTGTTTCTAAGCCTTGTACACTTGAGCTTGTATAATGGGACCTGTGCTCACCGACCTGGGCTTGGTTCTTAAGCTGGCAACTCATCAATGTTAAAATTCTAATATTCGTTTTCCATTTCCCCCTTGGCCTGTTTCTGTAATCTCCTCCAACCCCACGACTTTCTGAGATCCCTTCACTCCTTCAATTCTGGTTATTTTATGTGTCCTGTTTTTAATCGCTCCTTCAATGGTGGTTGAGTCTTCAGCTGAAATCCAAAAATTCCTCCCTAAACACCTCCATTTCTCCCTCCTCCTTTGCGATCTCCTTAAAGCCCATCTCTTCTACCAAGCTTCCGATACCCGGTCCTAAAATGTTCTTAACTGGCCAGAGGTCAAATTTGTTTGGTGTTCCTGTGAACTGCCTTGGAACGTTTGACTAAGTTATAGGTGCTGTCTAAAGGCAGGTTGTTGTTATGCGACAAGGTTACAATACCAATACACTGGTGACCCATGGACCCACACTTATATCTGTAACACGCAGCCTCGGGCACACACTGAGTGAGACATCAAGCCTACCCGGTGTGATCACCCACCGGATTCGGAGTTCTCACAGGGCGAAATCATTTTCCACAACAGTGGTTTGGATTCCGAATGTACCATCTGATTGGATGGTGGATACAGATTCAGTTCAATCTTCAGAAGGGAATTGGCTGAAAATTTGCAGGAGAACAAATGCAGGGATGAGTGGAAAGACCTGGGGAGTGGAGCTGACTGGATTAATGTTAGGAGGATATGGGGCAGAATCAAGGATCTGAAGGTGTCCTTCTGTGCAGTACTGTTCTCTGATTCCATAAATGGAAAGAAAATGAGATATCCAAGATCAATGAGCAGTATCTCACCAAAAGTTAGTAAAAGGAAGGTGCATAAAACTGTGTTTGGCTTTGTCTATGTGGCTGACTGTGTGTCTGTCTGTATGTGTGAATTTATATTTGTCTGTGTGAGTGTGTCTATATGACTGTCTGTCTGTCAATGTGACCATGTGTGCGTATGTGTGACTATGTGTCTCTCTCAGTGAGTGTGTGTGTGTGTGAGATGATGTGTCTGTCTGTCAATGTGACTGTGTGTACGTGTGTCTGTGTCTGTCTGTCTCAGTGAGTGTGTGTGTATATCTGTGTGACTGCATCTGTCTGTTTCAGTGAGTGAGTGTGTGTGTGTATCTGTGTGACTATGTGTCTGTTTTCTCAGTGAGAGAGTGTGTGTATCTATGTGACTATGTGTCTGTTTTCTCAGTGAGTGTGTGTGTGTATCTGTGTGACTATGTGTCTGTTTTCTCAGTGAGAGAGTGTGTGTATCTGTGTGACTATGTGTCTGTTTTCTCAGTGAGTGTGTGTGTATCTGTGTGACTATGTGTCTGTTTTCTCAGTGAGAGA